GGAAATAAACGCCATGTTTGAAGTCTGGTACTGTCAAAACATGACAGTAATTAGTCATATTTTGGGAATAAAAACATGTCAGTCCTATTTTGGAATTTTCATACCTTTTTAGTCCTATTTCAGGTAATGTTCCCTATTATATATAATATATAATATATTATTAGATTATAACACTAGTTTTCTGGACAATTCGGGACGATACGAGACAGTTCGGTTCAATATGTTTCCGGGACGGTTCCGGAACGGTTCTCACTAAGAACCGGTACCGTACCATGTCATTAAAAAAGCTCGGTACGGTATGGTATTACATTTTTCCGGTTCTATCGGTTTTGAAACGGTTTGGAACGGTTCTTTGGTACAAAACGGGAATTCCCAAATCCGTGCTCATCCCTAATGACAGTACACCACGATCCGTATCATTTGCAGATTATTATAAAACATGTTGGGCCTATAAATACCTGGCCAGCCGGCCACGTTGTTTATATTATGGGCCGGTCCTAATTGTAGAATAATTGTTAGAGGCTAATTTGGTTCCCACTCAAGGTATTTTATGTGAGTGTCTAATATGGACTATCTCTCAATCGTATTTCCCACACTGGAGCAATCAAACAATTCTTCCTTCCATTTTGGCTACATAATTGTCCTCTTGCTGGTGGCTTCGTATACAACACATGCATAATGAAGTTCGGGCTTAAAATAGTATGGGCTTCGTCAAACTGGCCTGATGGGTTGCGTTTCTTTAAAAAGTCTATATTTTTCGCAGTCTTTAGCTGGGCCGCCTCTTTTCTTGCCGAATAGGTGGGCTAGACGTTTACAATTTGCAGTCTGCCTTTGGAATTTATGGGCCCTGTGCGAGTGGGCTGCCTACCCCTGTCTAGGGCAGGCCCTGTTTATATAGTGTTAGTCGTCTGTAAAGCGACGTCTCCCCATCCAACGTACAAGTGCACCACCCTTCTCAACTTTGAACACAGATTCGATCCATCAAAAGAACATACTAGCTACATTTTTTTTAATGGAGACTAGCTACATACTATCATTAGCTGCATATTATACATTACTTTTGTAAGAGTCTTTTTTGGACATCAAATTTTAAGGCACTTAGCTTGAAAGAGTATTTTTTTAAACCGAAATATATGTTGATTAAAATACTATTCGTGACTTTATTTATGTGAATGGCTACTATTAAGAGTTAAGACTTGAGAGGGACTATGTATGATGGGCGTTTTGACGTGCGAGTGGCATAAATGAAAAGTCAAACATGTAACATTTTCGAACAAATTTTGACCCTTAAGCGGAATGATTTGTGAGATACTAGTAATAGAGTGCATAATCTCATACTTCTATGAGAAAGTCATGTTAGAGAGATCACTTGGGTATGAAAAGTTCAAATCATTTTGAGGCGAAATTTGAGTTTAATAATCATATGATTCATATGTACGTGAAATAAATATCGACCCTCATATGATCTTCGTATAAGAGAGTCAATGTTCCACGTCCTAAAATGAAGTCTAGCACCATGTCTTCTATTATTCACACCACATCGACCCCTTCTATTCCCTTCCATATTTGACATCATCCCGGGCATTAGAGTAGCGTGTTGCTTCCGGCGACTACCTAGAACCATTAATTAGCATTCTTATCACCAAACTCAGGCCTATGAAATGTAGCATGTCCTTGCATATTTGACACCACCCCAGGCGGAAGAATGACGTGTCACTTACGGACGACGACCTAACTGTAACGATATTCATATTTTGATTCATGTAATGTGAATGTGGGTATGTGACTAAGTTTGATATCGTTTGGGACATGATGATACCCCAAATATAACTAAGCGATATTCATATTTTGGGTCACTATATGGAGATATTTTATTTTTCAATAGTAAATCTATCTTAGAAATCGTGGATTAACAAAATTCAAGATCTTGGATTGACAAATTTCAAGAACTAGAAGATACCAATTACAAATTTACAACCACAAAAGTGAGCTGAGAGGCATAGGAAACACTGCCGAAGCGTTTAAAGGCGTAACATTCAAAACGCTATTCCCAACACAACAATGTAAAATAGCTCATTGAAGTACTACGTATTCGATTTGGGGACTTGAGGCAAATATTCATTGTAAACTCTAGTGTCAAATATTCGTCTTCAATTCCTTCCATGGCATACAATGAGTGTGCCCGATAGATTAGAAATGAGAAACAATTTTGGAATAATTATTAGCTCTAGTCACATTAAGATGCAAATGGTGCACGTTAGTAGGTTTGGCATACTCTATCTTTTATTACTGTTTTAAACTTCTTTTCTTCTCTTTAAATAAGTGGAGTTGTACCACAGAAAGCACCAGGAAGAGTACATTATTATGTCCATTGTATTATGATTTTTTGTTTTAATTTATCTCACGCTGTTTAGGTTCTGTTTAGCTCATTTAACCTCACTTAATTTAAGTTAGGGATTTCTTTATTCTTTCAATAGATGTGGATAAGTACTTTTATTTAGGGAAGAAATTAAAATATTTTAGTTTTATATTTTGAGAGTGTACGTATGTTTTACCGAGTCATATAGGGTATAATGGAACAATCAAAACTATTCTCAATTTTACAGTGGACCCTATAAAACTACTCGAAATTTCTAATTCGTCTATGGTACATATTGATGATGGAATGGCAAAAAGTTAGCTTACTTTTCCCTTCTGATCAACACATCACATTTAGGAATGTATATAAAAAAAAGTTCACTCAAAATTAGAATTGTTCTTTCAAATTATGTTTAGCGGTTCGATCTACAAAATCATCCAAGGGCATTCGACTATTTTATCTTTTAGGACAAAATTTCTTTACATAATTACGCTTGTACACACGTGAGTTTCAAGATAGATTGTCGCCTCCTACTATACGGACTATCATTTTGCAAGACATATTAGATCGCTTATAAAATGTCATTCTATATATATTAGATAAATGGAAAAAGTGATGAATCTTAATTAATACAACAAGACATAATCTAATACACCGTGAGATATTCAAATTAAATATTGGCAAATACACGTCCTAATACGTTGTGACAGTGGTGATATATATACTTACCGTAATTGTGATTAAAATGATAATATTCTTTTTTAGTATGCAATAACAATAACAATGATTATATTTTAGTAACTGACTGGCTACTCATACTTTCATCTACTTTGTTTACGAAAGAACCATATTCTTATCAATAATTGATCTTTTTGGGGTTGTTATACTTGTTATGTGTTATACATCGTATAATAATATATACTTGTCTCATTTCTTTTCCAAAACTAAATTGCCAATAAACCCCATTCACCTATAATTAGATCAGATCTCCACCATATATACTTTTCTAAACTATAAAAACTAAATTCCAAGATAGATGAATTCACCATATTGGGAATGTGCACATCATGGCCACTCATTTATATGCAATTGTGCATTATACAAAAACCCAGGGGCGGAGCTAGGGGAGGGCCAACCTGACCCTGACCCAAGTCAAATTTTAAACATGTCTAAATTTTTAGTGTAAAAGATTCTGTCTAAATTTTTTCCAAAAATATTCTTTGTAACCCTGGCTCCGCCCCTGCAAAAACCTATCTATATACCCCCTCACTAATCACTTCTCTTCTAATTGTCATTGTCTTAATCCATCCGTCATTCGTGCATGGGCAATCTCAAAGCACTTAACGAAAAGTTACCAAAGCTTGAATTGGGATTTGGGACTAAACTCTAAATGTAAATTATACTCTCACAAACGCCTTTCTATGCGTTCATGTATAGAGATGATTGAGACTCATATAACATCAAAACACACTAGCCTTTATTATATCAGATCAGATTAAATCAAATCAAATTACAAGAGATCAGATCAATCAAATCAAAGCAGACTTCCGTGATTATAAAATGCACATATACTAAACATTTATACATTTGCAATACAATTATTGATATATATTTTCACAATAACTTTTTCATTCACATAAATGAACTTTCACGAGCACAAAAATGTCAACAAAACATTTTTTATACACAAAAAGAATGTTGATTTATACGGTACAGTATTTTGGTACGGTACCTGCATATACATGAAATTTCACAAACATAATACGGAGTAATTTTTTGGCTATACTTTCTCATATACGTAGTATTATCTTTTCTGTTGAATGCCAACATCCGATCCTATTAATAAAATAATTAAAATTTTCCAAAATACGAGTGAGCTAGTCCTATTATATTTGGAAACAATGTAATGACCGGCACCTATTTGAGAAATTAAAATGTGCTATTCTTATTCTTAGCTTATATCTGGTGTGTGCATCTTGTGCTTCGTACATGTATGGATAATTTCGGGTGATTTACCAAAAAGCGGGAATACCCCGTATTCAATTCCAAAAAGCGGGGAAAAAATTAGGTTTTACCAAATAACGTAGGTCGGATTACCCAATTCCGACAGGAATTAGGGTTTCGGAAAACCCAGCCTCCCCTCCCTGTCGGATTAGGTGATTCCGACCACATTAATTTTTTTTTTTTTTTTTAATGTTGTCGGATTACATGATTCCGACCAAAATAATATTTTTTTTTTTTTTAATTCTGTCGGATTAGGTGATTCCGACCACCCATTTTTTTAAAAAAAAATTGTTAATTTTTTTATTTGTAGTTATAAAAATGTTAAAGTTTGAAATTGTAGGGTTAAATGAAAACTTTTTGGTATAATTTATTTGAATTTTATCCATTCCAAGTTTAAAAGTTTAGTTATATTAATCACATGTTTTTTTAAAATCTAAACATTTTGTATGTGTAGTATAAAACATTTGATTGCTTTATATTGTTTTGTAATGCATTTGTATTGTGAATTTTTTTTTAATTGCAATTTTTGTAATTTTAAGTGTAATTTTGATTTAATTTATTTGTCAAATTAGGTACAACTATGATGGTGTTTTGAGGGCAATTTTAGTAATTTTAAAGGAAGTGAACAAAAACAATGTACTTTTCAATGTAATTCATTAATGAATAGAGAGTACATATAACATTAAATATAATACTACAGCTAATGTTGTGTGCTCGGCCCTGCTCCGTCTCCACCGCCACTGTTCCAAGGCACCGTTGGGTCTCCATACAAATATGACGAACTCAGAAATGAGTCAACAAAATCATCGGGTTGCCTAGTGAACTGATAAGATTCATAATACGGCGGTGGTTGATTGAATGTGAGGGATTGATGCGTTGAGAATTGAGGTGGTGGTTGATCAAATGACACACCATGCGATGATGACTCCTCACGACCACCTTCATGTTCATGTGCATCATCCTCTTCGTGACTTCCACCTTCATCTTCATAATGGAACATGCCCCGGTGGATCATGTCTTCATCACCTGCGTCCACGGCCAGTTTCCGTATTCGTTTTTGAATGTCGTCATTACTGGCGTCGTTGATGCTGAGCTGATACAACTCGTAAATGCCTTGTTGCTACATAAAATTTTGTAACATATAAACTTTATGACATGATATATGTTAATGAATATGATTTTTTTTAAAATACTTACCACAATACCCCACTGGTGTGCTGTCGGGGTGTAGCCTGTCGTGGGCACAATGTGAGAAGGGTTCTGCACACGTGTCATACCATACTTCTTGTACCATTTTTTGTACCTATTAGTGGCTTCGACGAACATCTGTTGATCATAATCGAGAAAATATATGTGATCTTGTATGTTCGCCCACATCGCCAAGGCACCGGTTGCTATGTTGGAGCGATTCCCGTGATGATCACTACCTGCCAAAGGAGCATCCGGAATGTCTTGCCTTATATGGAACTGCCGAAGAAATCGATCGGGGTAATGCATTTCGGCCATATTGCAAAATATGAGCATGACCCTAGCCGACCATATCGGAGCTTCATGAAGAATGATAGGTGAGAGTGTCTCGGACGCGTAGGGAACGAAATCAAACTGTAAAAAGTTTAATTTACAATTTAAGAACTATAACATAATGTGTATTGAAAATTGAATAGTACAATTGAAGTACAAACTTCGAGTGCTACCTGACTCTCACTCATGCGGTCTAGTGAGTCCCGGTACAAGCGTATGCAATGTCTAGGAGATCCCTTATAAGATTTAGGGACGATCCACCTACATTTGTTGATTAGCGATATGAAGTTAAAAAATGTAAAGTTAAATAAAACATTCTAAATTATTAAGATGTAATTGGCAACATACCTGCACCCATATGGAAGATGATCATGTTGAATGACCTGAAGTACCGAGGGACGAAGCATCGAAATCCTCGACCAAGCCCAAATCTGTAACAAGTGCATACAGCCGCCAACTTGTTTGGTTCCCCACTTGGCGCCGTTACACAAGTTATGATATAGGTGCCCGAGAACTGCCGATCCCCAACTCCATCGACGGGTTAAAGCCAAGTCACCCTGTAAGACTTCCAAAAAATACAATCGTATTCTTGTCGCACTCGTGTCAGGGAACAAGAACCCTCCAAGCAATTGCCATATTAGGCTCCTGGTGTGCTGCTCAACCTCTTCGTCTGTACTATAGGGCACAATCGGGAGACGAGTAATAGCACTCATCATGATATCACTCGTGCGGATATCAGAAGCTATAGGAGTGAAACCACATGACTGCGTGCACAGGTTCATCCACTCGGCCTTATCCCTAATGGTAGGACCACTAAGGGGCATACCTCGAATGGGTAAACCAAGAATCATCGCCACGTCTTGAAGACTAATGCCAACCTCACCGAATGGAAGATGGAAAGTATGTGTCTCCGGCCTCCATCTCTCCACCAAAGCACTTATTAAACTATGATCTAACTTCATGCGGGCAATGTGCTCTACCCCCAAGAACCCAGCATAAGCTAACGTGTTTACTACCCTTTCATCTCGCTCCTCGTCTTGGAATGCAGCTGAAGGGCAATTCACGCATTTTAAACACGAGTCTATGTAATCGGGTTCATACCATACACGGTCAGCACGATGGGCACGGAGTGGCAACGTGAGTAGTGAACGGTTAACAGGCGGTGGGCACGGAATGTTTTGGTCCATTTGAAATTCCTGAAATAAGTATTTTTAAGTTTGTACCCAATAGTTTTTCTTAAATTTTACACTAATAGGCCAATTTGACAATATAAATAAAAAATGTACGCATAAAAAAATTAACTACTTCTACACTACTAAAACCCAAATTTAACTAACCTCATAAATGTAACACCATCTCTAAGTTTGTACTATTATTTTTACTTAAATTTTACACTAATAGTCCAATTTGACAATATAAATAAAAAATTTACACATACAAAAATTAACTACTTCTACCCCCCAAAAACCCAAATTTAACTCTAAATTAAAATACAATAATAATTCCGAAATTTAAGCCAAATCCTAAATGTAACACACTTTCTAAGATGCATTAGCCCACTTTAAATTCCAATTATACAATTTCACCATCTAATTTTGTCAATCATGTCAACTCTATTATTTCCTATTATAATTTAACTCTAAATTAAAATACAATAATAATTCCGAAATTTAAGCCAAATTGTTGTGTTTAACGTTACTAAAATGCACTACGCAGTAACTATGTTTGAAGTATGACTATTATATTTTTATTGTAATCATAATAACAACAATTTGGTCAATTTTATTTTTAATAAAATATTCATGATAACTAATAAAGAAGACGTAGTTTTTTCTTTCTTTCAAAATGAATATTTTTTTTTTGAAAAATCATAATGAAGACTTAGTAAAAATGGTTCTATACTTCTATTGTCAGTTAATGAGATAAAACAATCGCTCCACCTCAAAGTTAAAAATTCACAAATTCACGCATAATCCAGCTAAAGAACCACGACCAACTGTCAGCATTCTCACTCTCAACAACAGCATATGCAAGAGGAAATATCTCACGGTTAGCGTTCATGGCTACCGCTACTAGAAGAACCCCCTTGTATTTGCCATACAAGTGAGTCCCATCAACCGAGACTACAGGTAAGCAAAATCTGAATCCGTCAATAGAAGCTTTGAATGACCAGAACACTCGACGGAATTCAGACGTATCAGGAACGCCGACCTGTAGTTGTGATTGCAAATGAACAACCGTCCCCGGATTTGAAAACTGTATAGCTTCCAACAACATAGGAAGTTCATTATACGAGGCCTCCCAATTGCCGAATTTACGCTCTAGAGCGATCAACCGTCCATTCCAAGCTTTTTTATATGAAACACGGATATCAAATTTTTCATATATGTCTGACATTATGAGTTTAATGCTGTAGTCCGGGTCAACTTTAACTTTCGGAGCGATTTCACTCGCTATGAGTTTGGCCGTTAGGATCTTATCATCCCGAGATGTGACAGGATCCTCCCTGCAACTGTGATGGGGTTGATATTTTTTAACTTTCCATTTTGTGGAATGCATACCTTCTGCTGCTTGGATATGCCAAGTGCAAACAGTCGGGCAAATGCAAACCGCCTTCATAGTCTGGGTCGTCAGACTCTTCACCCGAATCTGAATGAATTCATAACAGTAAATGTGTTAGATTTTGTTTAAACGAGTTATATTATAAAATGGAAGTTTTCTCTAAATCAATGAGTTCAAAATTAAAAAAAGAAATACTTCTAAAACAAAATAAAATTTTTGTGGACACTAATTTTTTTTACAATAAAATGTATTTTATAAAATTTAATATATAACAAAGTATTTCTAAAAAAACACCCTCCTGTCGGATTTGAGCATTCCGACAGGCTTAATTTTTTTTTATATTATACGAGTATATGGTTAGATTATCTATTAAATAACCTTAAAACCATTTTTTCATTAATTAAAAATATAATTTTGTGAAATCCAACATCAATAATGGTTTCAACATGATAATACTCCATATTATTTACATTAAAGACGCATATTACACTAAAAACACATTCAACACGATAAACACGATAAATTTGTACACATATAAAATTAAGAATAACATTATACACTAAATTAAAATTCCAATTCTAAATTTTACACTCTTTCTAACTTTCAAGTATTTTATAGCTAAATTTAACCCTAAAATTCAAATTTAACAAATAAATTTCAATACATTTACAAATTACTAAATCTACTACTTCTACGTTCCTAAAAAAAATTAAGGCAAATTAAGTTATATATATATATATATATATATATATATATATATATATATATATATATATGGAATATTTGGGTGTATATACCACTTTGAATATGTGCAATTAAGTATATGTCATATATTTGTATAAATTAAACAAATAGCCTAAATAAGAGAGGGTTGCACAAGTGAGCTTATATTACGTGTTCTCACATTAGTTGCAAAAGTGCTATGCACTTAATTTAAATATAATATAGGTTATTAATTTGTCCTATCATATTTATTTAAGCTATATAATTTTTTAACTCTAAAATTCCAATTTAACAATCTAAAGTAAAACAGTTACAAATTACAAAATTAAATTGAACTATACATACCAGGAGTTTCGTGGTTCTGAAACGATTGGCGGTTGTTCCTCCGACTTGATGATGGGCCTTCCACTCCATCAGTTTCGTGGAACGTCAAATTTTGTGGCGGGGTCGCTGAAACTTCCAGGTAAATGTGCAACTCCTCATACTCATTTGTGGCGATCCGGAAAAAATGACGCCATGTTCGCTCATCATGAATGGGCCATAATCTAGAAGCAACATATACCGAATTCTTATATTTCGGCAATTTTCCGTAAATTAATTTAATTTCGGAAAATCCATCACGGATAACATGATTGAGAACATTTTCATGTATAGTAGTATAATCATCTCCTTCACTAATGAATAGTACAGCTCTAGGAGGTATGGAGTACTCTATTTCATCATCTCTTTGAGATGTAGAACCATTCCAATGCACCATAAGAATAATATTACCCTCACTAGACATTTTTATATATGATATATATTATAAATATAATATGAGAGGAAAGTGGTAAACAAAAAAGGTAATGAATATATTAAAGTGTTAGAGTAAATATGGTATGTGGGGATAGTATGTTAAGAAAGAAATAAGTGGGTATATAATGGTATGTGAAGAAAGGAAGAATGTTTTCGGAGTGTGTGTAAAATTTGAGAAAAAATGAATGTGTTTTATAGAGTTTTTTGGGTAGTAGTTTGGTAAAATACTTGGACCACTATTAAACACGTCACACACCACTATCGGATTCCCCAATTCCGACGAGGTACTTGGCTGGTATTGAATGGCTTATTAAAGCTTCAATTATTCGAGCCAATTAAAAAATAAAAAAAAAAAAATTATATAAAAACCTAGTCGGAATTGTGTAATCCGACTAGGGGTATTTCCATTTTTTAAAGTTTTCATACTATTTATTGTGTAATGCGAAGCAATTATAAAATAAAAAAAAAAAGAAAAAACCTAGTCGGAATTGTGTAATCCGACTAGGGGCATTCCATTTTTTTAAAAAAATTCGCACACCCCTAGTCGGATTACACAATTCCGACTAGGTAATTTATTTTTTATTTTTTTTGTTTTTTAATTGGTTGCAGTTAGACAAATAAAATAATGGAAAAGATTAAAAAATTTCGAAGGCTCCCTGGTCGGAACTGCCTAATCCGACTGGAGGAGGGTTTTTTTTTAAACCTAATATCTAGTCGGAATTGGAAATTCCGACTGTCGTGTTTTGGTAACCTAATGGGAACTCCCGTTTTTAGGAATGTCAGAACAAAAAGTCCCGTTATTTGGTAATTACTTCGATAATTTCCTTCTTTTGCCTTCAGGAATCTGGAATAATTTAAAAAAGAACGATTGGAAAAATTAAATGAGATTCCATGTGTTAATTACATTGAAAAGAAGTCTTGCATTCATACAAGAAGTTGTAAAGTACTTTGATTTAGTACTTTTGTTTTTTCTGTACTTTTTTTTATTTCTTTCATTCTCGCATTGTACTCTTATTTTATATCAATAAAAACTTGAATATAATGTATCACAAGAGAATTTCATCTATACAAGAAAAACGAGAAGACTCAAAATGATCGAGTTGCTGTCTCACAAGTTGCATTAAAAAAAATACATTGAATGAAATGAATGTGGTCAACTTAGTTCAAGTTAATTAATTACATGCGTTCAAGTTCAATTGATTTCCAAATCCACCATCACAATTCACACAATAACATGAATATAATGTATCACAAGAGAACCAATATAGCCACAACTTAAGATTACAAAATGAATTACAATAATTTTAATTTACTACTACGTACGGAGTACAACATAATTAAAGAACTTTCTGAATTTCGAATTTCAGAAAAAATATATTCAACTCACGTCAATAAAAATGGGAATACGTGCAAACAGTTCACAATAGACATGTTCACGGTCGTCATAATGTAAAATAAAAAAACAAAAGGCAAAACTGTCAAATAGATTCTCGAACTTTCATAAAAAGGTCAAATAAGTCTTTATATGTGGGACTCTGTCTGGCCGTCGCGATTTGGGGCGGTTCCTGATAGAATTTTTTGATGAAATATTTTGAGCATCTTATTCATCAAATCTAGTTTACTCATACCAAATTTCAGCTAAAACTTCAATTGGGAACGCATTCAAATTAATTCTTGAAGATAACCGTGCTGTTAAATGTGCAGTCATCTTCAAGAATTAATTTGAATGCGTTCCCGATTGAATTTTTAGCTGAAATTTAGTATGAGTAAACTAGACTTGATGAATAAGATGCTCAAAAAAATTTATCAAAAATTTCAATCGGGAACCGCCCCAAATCGTGACGGCCGGACAGAGCCTCCTATATAAGGACTTTATTTGACCTTTTTATGAAAGTTCGAGGACCTATTTGACAGTTTTCCTAAAACAAAACGTACAAGCACAACTATGAGCATATTAGGCATACTTTCTTATACTCCCTCCCATTTCAAATGAATTTCACACTTTCCTTTTTAGGTAGGTCCAAAATAACTTCACACTTCTTCTTCCTTCCTTATTTGGTAAAGGGAAAACTGTCAAATAGGTCCTCGAACTTTCATAAAAAAGTCAATTAAGTCCTTCTATAGGAGACTTTGTCCGGTCGTGGCGATTTGGGGCGGTTCCCGGTGGAATTTTTTGATGAAATTTTTTGAACATCTTATTCATCAAGTCTAGTTTACTCATACCAAATTTCAGCTAAACCTTTAATCGGGAGCGCATTCAAATTAATTTGAGAACGCAACAATGCGCAATTATCTTCAAGAATTAATTTGAATTTATTCCCGATTGAATTTTTATCTGAAATTTGGTATGAGTAAACTAGACTTGGTGAATAAGATGCTAAAAAATATTTTATCAAAAAATTCCACCGAAAACTGCCCCAAATCGCGATGGCCGGACAGAACCTCCTATAGAAGGACTTAATTGACTTTTTTATAAAAGTTCGAGGATCTATTTGACAGTTTTCCCTTTGGCAAATAATCTACATCAAAACAGTGCAAAACAGTGTCAAACAGTGTCACAACAGTGTACTCTACAGTAAAGTCAAATTTCCTTAATCTGTGTGAAGTCAAACTGTGAAATTCATTTGGGACCAGAGGGAGTATACTTCTAAAATAAATATTCCCTACTAACATATATACTTGGAGAACCTTAATACTACCTCCGTTCTTTAATAAGTGCAACATGTTGAATTTTACACTATTCATATGTTGTACTTTGACTACGTTTAATTAAATAATGTATTAATCTGTATTTAATTTCTTGTAAAAAATATTGTTAAATTTGTTTCATTCTAAATGTTTAAAATCTATTTTTTAATTTTTTTTACCGATAAAGAATGATATATATTAATGGTCAAAGTTGTGCCTCGACAAGTATGAAATGTTGGCCGTTGCACTTATCTAAGTGTGTAAAAACTGTAACGTTGAATTGAAACAAATATACACTTAATGGTCCATTCTTCTAAGGATTTAATTTATAATTATATTAATTGGACATTTAAATGATCCAAATTAATTTAATCACTAAATTATTTCCGAATGAACCCACATTCATATTTTCCTTTTGATTAGGCCTAATAACCGTTACGAGCAACTCTAGGAGAATCTGACATTGATTCAATTCAAAAGAGGCATTTAAATGAGTTTAATAATATTATGGACTATCAGACAATAATAATTCCAAAGTATTAAATAATTTTTTTTAAAGTAGGTCCACAGTGTTCATGCGTTATTTAGCCTCTTCTATGTTAGTAACTTAGTACGTACTATAGCTTCCAGAATAATTTGGATGCCCGACTTTTTAATTATTACTATCGTATAAAATTGGCGAATGTCATGCCCGACTTTATTGAGAAACTGAACGAAATTACTAATAAACGAAAAAAAGCCTCTAATTGTTCCCCTTTTATGAGAAAATTCAATATATAAACACAATTAAATATATGTATTTAAGTTAATATTATGGATTTGCAAAAATAAGCTAGATAGCCTTTTTTTTAAACCTACGATGCACTGTGTCGAACAACCCTGTAGCAGTTTCCTTCTTCAACCAGTAATTTTATAGCAGTATCATAATAAAGGGTTCACGTCTCTATGGAGAAATTCCCAACTTCCAAAATGATGAGGCATACGGTATCTAAAATTTTACGTGCTTCATATTAACAACAAAAACGCTATCTATTTAATTATATAAAATAGAGGCTACTAACTTCAAGTGACCTATTTTTTAAGGCTATATCCCCTTGTTTTATTTTTCATTTCCCATTTGCCTTTCAATTCCCCATGTGCCGAATGGTGCATTAGAGATAGCTATAGATTTTCCTTTGTCCACTGTTTGTAGTTGTAATTCTCCTTTTGTTCATTAAATATGTTTACTGATTTTTTTTATAACTAAAATATAGCTCCAAATAAAAACTCAATAAAATTTAGTTATCACCTGCAAATGTGATAACCTGGTGCATTAGAGATAGCTATAGATTTTCCTTTGTCCACTGTTTGTAGTTGTAATTCTCCTTTTGCTCATTAAATATGTTAAAAAGTGTGAACGTCAAAACAAAAATTTTCAAATGGAAACCTATAAAAAAATGCACCAAAAATTATACTAGCACTTTTTTAGTATTCTAAACGTACTCTTTCTCTTTCTTCATAGAGTCAAAATTTATGTTTACCTATCATGAAAATACCTACATATAATTAATAATACAAAAATCACAAACAATTCAGTTAACAAAAAACGAAAATTAATATATACAGTATATGAGTAATTTATAGTGAAAAATTATAATGAGTGTAAACTAAAATATTATTAGCGGTCAATCCCCACTCAGGGACTTGAGGGATCGGTGGCTGCCTATTGCTGGAGATTAGTTGATTTTAGGAGTCTGCTATCAATTTCAAATTTTAATTACTAAATTTTAACATTAAAAAACACCGAATTTTCATATGGAGGCGTGCATAGTAGTCCGGTTACTAATTCCATCAGTTTAAGAGTCTTCTAAACTAATGCGAGGCCCTAGGCAAATTCCAACTACAAATTCCAATTCGAATTCCAATTACTTCTTACTCCTATTTTTTAGGCCCTCTCCTGATCGGAGGCCATAGGCAAACGCCTGGGTTGACTGACCCCAAAACCGACTCTGTACATTTTTCTCTTTTGATAAGTTTTCATTTTAGAAATACTCATTTATTATTACTTTTTCTATTTTTTTTAACTCTTTCATACTTTAGACTCCATCTCCTATTTTTTAGACACTACTAGTATTAATTACCAAGCTACTTTCCACATTAAATAATATTTCAAAGACCATTATTGTATCCATCTTTGAACTACAGAATTGGAATTACCGTTTTTGAACCATTTAAATTAAAATTTAACAAATGGAGTGTCTTCGGGTTTGCGAAATGGACCATGTTGCGAAGGTTGCCTTAAAGTTTGATTAGATGATTCTAATATAGTAATTCAAGTTGTGTTACAAAATGAACCATGTTACCAAGTTGTGTTACGAAATGAACCATGCTACAAAGGTTGTCCTATATTTTGATTAGATAATTCGAATACAGTAGGGAAGCGTATATAGTACAGCCGACTGTACGGTGAGAACCGTACAGCCGGTGGCATTTTTGTAATTTACATGAAATCCGCGTCTTGTACTAAATGAGCATTAAAACACGTCTAGTGAGCATGTGACATATTTTGTTGAGCATTCCACGCATAACAATGAGCATCGTGATCTCTGTTTCATCTCTTCTAATTTACATTCTTTTCCTTATTTTTTTCTAAACTTTTGAAATATGCATTGTTATGCCATTTTACAAATGAGCATAACATGAATCGCCGTTGAGCATACATAACTTATAAAGTGAGAATTGGTATTTAACATGTGCAACCTTTTAAAATGAGCATAAAACAGTAATAAATGAGCATACATAACTTACAAAATGAGTATCAAAATATTAAAAAACTCATTTGTGTGTGCTCATTCATTTTGGACGTTATAATCATTTGAGTTTAACATAAAATTCATTTTAAAATATGCATGAATATGACATTTTAAAATGAGTATTGCATTAATATCAAATGAGTATACATTAATTACGCAATGAGCATTCAAAAAACTCATTTCAAATGTCTACTATGCTCATAGTTTCATTTATTATACTCATATCATAAATGAGCGAACTCCCTCACCAAACTTGGGTAAGAAAAAAAGAAAAAGGAAGAGTCCAGAGCAAGAAAGAGGGAGAACGAAGAAGCAATTAGGGCTATACACCAGGAGGAGGAGCCACAGAAGTCGCAGCTCAAGCCAGAGTTTGAGGTGTTGAGCTCGTGCTGGAGGTCATGGCTGTCGATCTGCGAACTCCGATGGAAGCCCTGCGAACTGCGATGGAAGCCTACGATCTGCGATGGAAGCCTGCGATCTGCGATGGAAGCCTGCGATTTTCGATGGGAGCCTGCGATTTGGGAAATAAAATGCCGGCTGTACCGTGCGCACGGTACAGCCGGCTGTACCATGTAATTTACCATTCCAGTTAGCTTGGATTACTTTCTCAAATATCTACCATTCATATTCGGCTACCGCACTCTAGACTAGGATGCTGCTTTGACAACACAAGCCTTGTGGACCCAGCTTGAGAGACCTGTACAAAAACGGGTTCGGGTCGGGCTTTTAATAAATTTTCTGCCCATCATGTGTGGGCGTGCCCGGCCCGGCCCGGCCCGCAAAAACGGGCCTAACCTCATGTCCATACCCGCCCGTTAGAGCGGACCGGGTTGTCTACTGGGCCGCCCGGCCCGGGAAAACTTTAATTTTTAAAAAATTATATAATTTTTTAATACTTTACAAATAGTATTACAACATTTAAAAAATTCTAATATGCTTATAATGTTTTTAAGTCTGTCACTACGTACACAAAATATAATGAGAAACTATATCTTAAATTCAAAATTGAAGCACAAAGTATTATCTTTAACTACTAAAATATATACTACACACTATGTATATTATATTGGTTGGACTAGTTGTTAAAAACTTAAATTTAAACATAATTAACTATAAATATGTATAAAGATACTTGCACAAAAAATATAATGAAAAACTATAGCTAAAATTTAAAAATTCAAGCACAAAGTATCATCTTTAAGTACAAAAGTAGATATTATCTTGGCTAGGCTAGTTGTTAAGAACTAAAAACTTAAGAAAATGAGTTGATCCAGTGGTGTTGAGCATATGTTGAATATGTTAAATTTAAATATAATTAACTATAAATATGTATAAAGATAAATTAATAAATATAAATATACATGTGTACATGTAAATAAATAAATTAGTATATATATTAAAAATGTATATATACTAAATGTAGCGGGTCGGGCTTATCAGCCCGAACAGGCCTACACCCAAACCCAAGCCCGCCCATATGTTATTGCGGGCAGGGCCGGGCCCAGTGGGTAAATATATATGCCCAAGCCCGCCTATTTGTGCAGGCGGGCTGGGCGAGCCAGGCAGGCCGGCCCGGTTTTGTACAGGTCTACCTAAGACCTAACCGCCCCGGACCCGGTGGAATCCCGGGCCGGTTCTGGGCCTATAACCACACACAAAAAGCCCACCAAGGACCGGCCTGGAGCACACAAAAAGCCCACGAAGGACCGGCCTGGAGCCCGGTCTGAGCGTGGCCCGGAACCAGACCATGCCTAACACAAGCACATCGGCTTTACCTTTTCAGAAAAGATTTCTCCATTTTGGTTATTATTTTTGTAATGCATGAACTTATATTTTCCAAGTTATATTAATTGCCAAAAAAGTAACCGATCAGTATTTTTGCTAAATTGCATTTTGAAATGGGAAATTGTTGCGACAACTCCTCAATTTTACTCCATGAAAGGTATAGGTAAAATAATCTAAACCACACGTCCACACTGATACATTGCCATACAGCCATAGGGAGCATCGAGTGCAAATGGAGTATGTGAAAAGCACAATAGATCTATTTAAGAAAGCGTATATTCTTTACAAGTAATTAGAAGTTGACCATTGCCAGGCACATATCATTGCACACAAGCTGCCAGGAAAATGTGAAAATTGAAAACTGTTAAAAGTGAATAATAAAAATCAGCTGGCCAACATACTCTCCAAATGTTGAGAGAAGAAAAATAAAAGCTGAAGCCAACACCCGGCAGAGAAGAAGGTGGCGCAATCATAGATTTGGATTGGTTCGACAATATGACCTCAAAGTTCTACATTTAGATGGAAGGCCTCTGGCAAGCAGAAAATAACTGCCAGCTGACCAAAGCAATGGCCAGTGAGGTGAATAATTCAAAGCCAACGACCTTTGGAAGTTGCCACCCCATCCCCTGCTTCAGATAGCTGCAAATACCACCGACATAAACAATCTAAAAAAATCCCATTCTTTCTTTGGCATAAAGGGCAATCACCAAAAAAACTACTGTAAAGTGGTACTCTTTCGATCCCTACTTAATTTCTTTACCAGATGTGCATTTCATTTTTTCAATTCCATTTTTACCCCTACTTAATCATCCACCATAAACTCGAAGTTGCTCCATATTAAAATTGTTACAATGGAAACTGCCTATAAAACTAATTGTAGCTTAACAGTCACTTCACAACTCATGTGGAAATAGATAGTTGGCTGTTTCTTGGGTCAGATGGATTAATTACGTTTGGTATAGTAAATACAAATTGAAGAACTAACCTTGTTATGGATGGCATTGTTGCTACAATCCCAGCACATGTATATATAATGGGAATCAATGTCTTGGGTTTGCTTTTCCGCAGCCACATCAGAGATCCCAATGCTGCTAGTGATAAGTTAAATACCTAGATAAATCACAATTAGATCGGCAAAATGTAGTTTAGCATCAGGTATAGAGAACGGATATGCTTAGGCAGGGCCACAGTTTGCACTACTTTGCAGGAAAAAGGAACTGTTGTTAAATGTACTGCCTCTTTCTCAAATAAAAATGAACACTTTTTGTTAAATGTAATGCCTCTTTCACCAAAAAACACTTTTTCTGAAACCTTTTTCATCCCAAAATGAAACCTCTTCAAAAAGCCAAGTATCATTTTTGTGTAAATTTCACGCAAACCCAAGGTTTTAGTGAATTACTACTAGTCTTTTAAATAGGTTTCAGGGTTTAAAAGATTGCACCTTGATTGAGTTGGCCAAATAAAAAGTTATAAACATGAAAACTTTTTCACAGACGGAGTTTTAGATTTTTTATCTAGACTGTTAATATTTTCTAGTTTTGTATTTTTTTAACTAGAAACGTAAGAGTTTGATTTTTTTTTCAATACCAAATTGGCATTTGCTTCAAGGCCTTGCAGGATGTACTCCCAAGTGAACTCCAACCCTCTAGCACCAACCCAGAGGGGTGCCAATCTATGAAGAACTGAATCAGCAAAAGCCCATCCTATATAAAAAAATCATACAGTTCACATGAAAAAAATGACAAGCATATGAAGAGAGAAGACGGTTATGCAAAAAGGCGGGCTAGTTCACATCATAACACAATTACTTACCAAGTCCAACAGCTTGACTTGTGATTCTGAGAAATATTCCTGTGAGTCAATTGTGTCAATGCAAAATAAAGTCCAGCAACATCTATAAACCCGATCAGAGCTTTCAACAATTCCTGAAAAAAGTGTATCTTAAATTCTCTATTTGCATATTCAAAAAAGATGGATACATGCATAAAAGGAAACAAGTTAAAAACAGTCAATTTTGATAGTAAAAAACATGCTGGACAAAATTATTATTGAATCAACATTAGAAAAAATATCATGGATACTATCATGATATCTTCTTCAATACGTTGAAATCAAGTTTTCCATTATTGATTTCTTTCCACTTTTCATAGGCCCTGTTTTCTTAATGTCAATCCAGCAGCATGAGCAACACTGCTACAATATTTCACATAATAATATGACAGTTTATGGTATCCCTAATTCTTAGATACAATTCCAAAGCACAATATTTGCTAGGACCATTACATTTAGGCATCAAACATGCTCATGACCGGTCTAAGAGAGTAAAAATAATCAAGCATTATCATGAAAATAAAGTTTTATAGTTTCTTTTTTCGTAAATAAAAGAAAAAACTAATTCGATGGTAGTGTATAAGGTGACAATGTTATCAAGGATAGATAACCAATACCTGATATGGCTCAAAAGTATCACTTTCGGAAACATTAAGAAATGTTGCAAGACACACAAGCTGCAAAAGAGATATACAAGTATTATTTGTTTGGAACTTACTGAAAAACGGCCTTCAAAAACTGAGGTTGATAGATCATATGACATGGATGTGAGAGATAAAGCAGTTCATCCAAAAAAGAAAAATATTTGGAAATTCATCTCAAATTCAGCTAGTCAAAACTGCAATACTGACCTTCACTAATGCCGTTAAAAAATAAACAACAGCAGCTTTTACGGAAGTACCAAGAGTATCATATTCAGACCTGCAATAGTTCACAGAACAATTTACAAATATTCAGGAAAAAAAACTATCAGGCACACAACATCAGAAATTGCATACTACTATCAAACACATATCTCTATTACAGCTTTCCCAAGTTGTACGAACATGCATATAGAATATTCTCTATTAGATTAGCCCTGTCCACGCCTAGAAACCTCAAAAGAGCCTAACTTTTAATGTTACTATGATCATTTCCAATGTCTTACCGCAGCAGATGCAATAAGAAATACAGTACATGTAGAAACCTCAAGATTCTAACTTTTAGTGTTGCTATAATCGTTTACAATGTTTTAAACTAAATGCATTAAGAAAGACAGGGCACTTAGTTAAATACTTCCGTGAACCTACATTCATATTCAATACCAAGTACTTGAACAAACACCAAACTAGTGTACACTATTTTTAGCATATGATGATCAAAATATAAAAAATGTGATATTCCGTCTTTTCCTATTGATCTGTCTTCATTCATTGAGCCACAGGTCAACACCAATTTAAAAAATGTTTTAGTGATAAAGTAATATACTTTATACATTTCACTTAAAATACCCTCATTTAATCTAACACCGTTTAACCATTCTATTCGTTACCTCTCTTCTCCATCTGTATTTCTCTGCATCTTCCTGCCTTCCTCACTCAATAACTCGTTCCTCTAATGGCATAGGGCGTAAATCCAAGTGGACATAACACATCGAGTTTAAGTCGCAGAAGATTGCCATTGAAAGTTTTAGCACTTGATATAGCTGTAAGTTATTTGTTTGTAACTAATGTCGAAAGCTTTTTATTGATAGCAACCTCCAGATAATACTTTCGGCGCATCATTTGCTCATTAACACTAATATAGTAGTGGTTTTAATTTAGGAGATCTTTTTTCCTTATTTGTAAGTCGATTCCAGAATAGTGGAACTCCCAATAGGTTAGTTTAAAAGCTGATGTATACGAAGGTCTCTGTTGGCAGAATACATTCTTGAATAAAATTGTTTCTTCTTCTAAGTTATATACACGTAAATCATCAATATTGAGTGATAAGTTTAGTCATTGTTTTTTTGAGTGCTAATGTAAAGTAGTATTGTTTATTAATAATATTAATAACCATGGAGGAGTGTTACTGAAAAACTTATATCTAACATAGACCCAGATAAGTTAGATTTCTGGTGGTTATTTGATTTGCCTAAAGAGACGGGTATAGTTGCTGAAATTAAGGAGCTGTATTACCTTGTCCCTGGAGAGTCATTAAGTACGGGTTTGTATCAAATAAATAGTGACAATGATGTTGCTGAAATAGGAAGGTTAGGCATGGAAGCAAGCATGGTTGACTTGTATATTGTCCATAAGGATGTGCCAACCCAATACACTAGTGAAGTCCTTTTTTCTGAAGGGGGGGATGATAACTCTGGAGAGATACAAACATATATGCATGATGAAGAGCAGGAGGACATTATGCAGCATTTCATTGAATCAGTTGATGGTGAAGAAGGTCATTCCAGTGATGAAGAATGGATAGAAGCAAGGCAAAGGATACAAAATTGGAATTTCAAAAAATGTGAGGAAGTAAAGCAGGTTAATGATTCGTTAGAAAGGGGTGCAGATCTACTAGACGCTGAAAAACATGAATGAACTTGGTGGATATGTTTCACAATATGAGGATAGTGATGGTGAAGTTGACTCCCCAAGAGAGAGTGAAGAAGATGATATTTTAGGGAAGAAGAAGAAGTGTCAGGCACCAATTGTGAACGACTCAACTGATTTTAATAATCTGCAGTGGTGTGTTGGCTTAAGGTTTGGTACAAGAGATAAATTTAGCCTCTTAGAGAGGCTGTAACTCAATATGATGTGGCTCAATGTAGAAATTTGACATATTTTATTAGTGACAAAAAAAGAAGTCAAAGGCTTGGTGTTAAATGTGTAGATGGTTGCAAGTTTTTGCTTTATGACTCTTGGGAACACAAGAGAAATTGTTTTGTTTTAAAATCTGTAAACAACAAGCACACTTGTTGTAGGGACATGACAAGGAACAAACAAATGAAATCAAAGTGGATGGCTCGCCAATTGTTGCCCGTTTTCAAAGCTACTCCTCATTGGCCTGCGAAGGAAATTGTGTTGGCAGTGAAGAAGAAATGGAAAGTTATTGTGAAAAGAACTCTATGCTATAAAATAAAGTATGAAGCAAATAAATTGTTGCATGGTTCAATGAAAGACCATTATGCTAAGCTTGGGAGTTATTTATTGGCTTTAAGGAAGGCGAATCCCATTTCAACATTTGATTTAGCAGCTGACCCTAAAGTTGTAAGAAACCCCATGGTATTCCAGAGGCTTTTAATTTGCTTTGAAGGGTTAAAATGCGGTCTGTTAAGTAGTTGTCGAAGAGTAATATGTTTAGATGGTTGCTTTATGAAGACACTTTTGGGAGGGATGTTGTTAGTAAGAGATGGAAACAACCAAATGTTTCCTCTTGCATGGGCTGCAGTGGAGGGTGAGAACAATAATTCTTGGGAATGGTTTCTATCCAAATTGCAAACTTGTTTAGAGTCATCAACCGGAGAAGTTTGGACACTTATCTCTGACCAACAGAAGGTATGTTTACCTTGTTTTTCCTTCATTTAGTAAAGCTATTTGACTTTGTATACATTAAGTGTTAATTGACATTTTATGCAGGGTGGTGGTAAATGCAGTAGCAAAATTTCTACCATCTGCTGAACATAGAAATTGTGTGAGGCATATTTTCAAAAATTGGCACTCCAAATTTAAGGGTGATGAGTTGAAAGGGTATTTTTGGGAAAGTGTATGAGCTTATAATGAGAGAGATTTCACAGAAGCTTTCAACAAGATAAAGATTGTGTCAAGTGCAGCAGCTGATGCTTTTGTAGCACAAAATCCCACTGCTTTTTGCCGGGCTTTTCTAAACACACACACTAAATGTGATGTAATTGTGAACAATATGGCAGAAACTTTCAATGGTTACATCATTGAAGCAAGGTCTAAGCATTTAATCTACATGCTAGAAGATATAATTAAGATGCGCTTTAATGGAAGGACTCGTTGTGAAAAGACAGTGGATGGAATCTAATGAAAATGACACATGCCCGAGGATAGCTGCTAAGTTGTAAAGGGCAAAAGATAATAGCATACATTTTTCTGTTATCCCTTCTTCGGAAACAAAGTTTCAAGTAAGGTATATCCTTGATGAGGTAGTGGTAGATGTGGAAAAGCAAACATGCACGTGCAGGAAGTGGGATCTAACCGTTATCCCTGGTTGTCATGCTATCTCTTGTATATTTTTTATGGGAAGAAAGGCTGAAGATTTTGTGCATTGTTGCTACAAGAGAGAAGCTTACTTAAGGAGTTACGCTGGGAAGATAGCTCCACTAGAGGGTGAAAGATGTTGGCCAACATCAGATCTGAAATTGGAACCCCCTCCTATCAAAGTAGGCCCTGGAAGACCACAAAAGAAAAGAAGAAAGGATCCTTATGAGGATCTTAAAAAACCTGGGAAGTTGTCAAGACATGGAAGGGAGATGCATTGTAGTATTTGTCAGTCTAGTGGACATACAAAAAGAAATTGTAATTCTAAATCTGCTGAGCTGCCGCAGCCACTTCCTAAGAAGCAAAGAGGCAGGTCTAAGAAATCATGTACCAATGACCAAGGTTTGCGTTCAAATGATCAGTCTGTTGTAGCCCAACCTTCCAATCGGGGTAGGGGTGGAAGCGGGTTAAGAAGGGGAAAAGGAAATTGTGAAAGTATATTATAATATACTTTAGAATATGCTTTAGAATATTTTAGGAATATACCATATATAGTATTATTGTATAGCATCTTTTATAGGAATATTCTATCTTTGTAATCTATATTTAAAGGGCCTTACCCTTCAATGAAATACACAGAAAATCCTTTCCTCTCCAATATTATTTCTTAGTTTATGTGCTCTATTTCAACATGGTATCAGAGAGTCCAATTCAGTTTAGTTATTTCAGTTTAGTCATTCATATCTCAGTTTCCTTTCCAGTTTCACCAAAGAGCTGATTTCAGTCCAGAACTTTCAGAACCTCCTACCCTTCTCAGAACCTCTTCCAGAACCTGAGTTAACTCCAAAACCTTACACACCCTTTTGTCTGCAGAACCTCTACCCAGACCCTAGAACCAGATTCTTAATCCAGAAAATCAATTAGCTACTAATTTTACAGAAACTCAGTTCAGTTAGCTTTATAGCCCCAGATTCTTCAAGCCAGAATTCGAGTCAAAGCAATACTCAGGAGGTGCGCCTACCTCAGACGACCCAGCAGCCGAAATCCGACATCCAACTGCAAGGCGAGTGTGCTACACGCGCCACCACAAGCCCGGCGCGCGATACCACTTTTCTGGCCGGAGTTTTGACCGGAGCTCTTCGCCTGACACTCGCCTGAAAGTCCTCTGCCAGGTACACTTTTCTTTTCTCGTTCTTTGTCCAGCAAGGGACGGGATCTGTGGACCGAAGGAAGCCTGTGGTTGGTCGCTAGTGTCTGGCATCGGATACTGTGGACGCCCCAGGGTGGGTTGGTCACTGCCTCGCTGGTGTCTGGTCTCGGATATTGGTAAACATCCGCTTGCTCCTCTTGCTCCTTCGCTGATTGTTCCGCACATACTGGGATCTCGCATCAGACCGACAGCTTGAAATTAAGTTTGGAGTCCCACGCCCTGGATATTTTATTCTCCAAATTTTAAAGTCCACAAACGGGAACCTGCTGGGCTGCTGTAAGATTTCAGAATATCTCTCTTTTTCTTTATCTAATTATTGTGTCTAAAAAAAAAAAAAAAAAACATACGAAAAAAAAAAAAAAATATGTCTTGTACGAGTGGATTTGACAGACGAGTAATATGCAATTACTGTAAGAAGTCGGGGCACTTGATCAAAGAATGTAGAAAATTGTTGTTCAAAAATCAAGGAAATCAGCTTGCTCGTGTCGCTTCCGCTACCAGTTCATCCGATGGATTAGTTGCTATTTCTTCAGATGAGTATGCCAAATTTATTTGCTACCAAGAATCTCTAAAGCATTCATTTGTCCCTATCTCGGTAGCCGCAAATTCAGGTATTTCAAACACATGTCTTGTTTCATCATCCTCAAAATGGGTCATTGATTCAGGTGCCACAGATCATATGACCGGTAATCCTAGTCTATTCTCGTCATTTCATTCATATTTACCTACTTCTAGTGTCACTTTAGCTGATGGATCTACATCACCCGTTCTTGGATCTGGTACTGTTGTTCCAACTTCTACATTACCATTATCGCCTGTTTTGAGTCTTCCTAATTTTGCATTTAATCTGCTTTCCATCAGTAAAATCACTCGTACTCTTAATTGTTCTGTAACATTTTTTCCTGGATATTGTGTGTTTCAGGATCTGTTAACGAAGCAGATTATTGGTAAAGGACATGAGTCAGCTGGTCTTTATATTTTGGATACATCCATCACAAAAGGTATCTCTTGTCTTGGGGTTGGGACTTTGTTAGATGCTCATTACCGATTAGGACATCCATCTCTCCCATTAATGAAGCAAATAAATCCCCAATTTAATAAGATGACCTCTTTACAATGTGAGTCATGTCAATTTGCGAAACACCATCGTACTAGCTTAAGCCCGCGAGTTAATAAACGAGCAAATGCTCCATTTGACCTTGTTCACTCTGATGTTTGGGGTGCTTGCCCGGTTGTGTCTAAAGTTGGTTTTAAATATTTTGTTACCTTTGTTGATGACTATTCTCGTATGACATGGTTGTATTTCATGAAACGTCGATCTGAGTTGTTCACTCATTTTTCTTCCTTTTGTGCTGAAATTAAAACTCAGTTTAACGTTCCTGTTCGGGTGTTAAGAGGAGACAATGCCCAAGAATATCTTTCTGCTACATTTAAGTCATTTATGCTTCAACATGGCATTATTCATCAAACTTCATGCGTTGACACACCTCCTCAAAATGGAGTTGCAGAACGAAAGAACCGACATCTGTTAGAAACTGCACGGGCTCTTCTATTCCAAATGAATGTGCCTAAACAGTTTTGGGCAGATGCCGTGTCTACTGCATGTTTTTTGATAAGTCGAATGCCATCTTCTGTTTTGAATGGTAAAGCTCCTTATCATTGTCTATTTCCAAACAAAGAGCTTTTTCCTATCCCACCTAAAATATTTGGTTGCACTTGTTTTGTTAGAGATGTTAATCCTCATCTTACAAAGTTAGATCCCAAATCATTAAAATGTATTTTCTTGGGTTATTCTCGAGACCAAAAGGGGTATAGATGTTTTTGTCCGAGTACTGGTCGGTATCTTGTTTCTATTGATGCATCATTTCATGAAAATACGCCTTTTTCATCATCTAAGGCGGATATTCATGAGAGTAATGATGATATACTCATTTACACGATGACTATTCCTGAGTCCACACTTTCAACACATATTCCACAAGTTACTGTTCCTGACCCTAGGCCTCCCGTACATTTGGTATACACCCGTCGACACAAAGCACCTGATCACCATCCACCGGCGATACCTGTGATTACTTTTCCTGATACTAGTTCGACTCCGATCTCATGTCCTGAACCAGTACCTGCATCTTCAGATCTTGTCTCCACATCAGATCTTGACCTCCCAATAGCACTACGTAAAGGTACACGGTCTTGTACTCATCCTATTTCTTCATTTGTGTCATACAATCAGTTATCTCCTGCTTCATGTTCTTTTATTGCTTCCATTGATTCTATTTCTGTTCCCAAATCTGTCAAAGAAGCTTTGTCTCATCCTGAATGGCGTCATGCCATGGTAGAGGAAATGAATGCTTTAGATCTTAATGGTACTTGGGATTTGGTTGACTTGCCTACAGGGAAGAAATCTATTGGATGTAAGTGGGTCTTTGCTGTTAAGGTTAACCCAGACGGATCTGTTGCTCGGTTGAAAGCCCGATTAGTTGCGAAGGGTTATGCTCAAACCTATGGTGTTGATTATTCTGACACTTTTTCTCCTGTTGCTAAATTAACATCTGTCAGGTTACTCATTTCACTCGCTGCAACTCATGATTGGCACTTACATCAGTTGGACATTAAAAATGCATTTTTGCATGGTGACCTTAAGGAAGAAGTCTATATTGAGCAACCTCCGGGATTTGTTGCTCAGGGGGAGTATGGTAAAGTTTGTCGACTTCGCAAGTCTCTTTATGGTCTGAAACAGAGTCCTCGTGCATGGTTTGGGAAATTTAGTCAATCAATTGAACAATTTGGAATGATAAAAGCCAAATCAGATCACTCTGTCTTTTACAAACAAACAGAATCAGGTGTCACATTGCTTGTGGTGTATGTTGATGATATTGTGATTACAGGGAGTGATAATGCAGGTATTTTGGCCCTTAAGAATTTTCTGCATAGTCAATTTCAGACGAAAGATCTTGGCTCTTTGAAATACTTTCTGGGAATTGAGGTAACACGAAGTAAGAAAGGCATATTTCTATCTCAACGTAAATATGTACTTGACTTACTAGCTGAGACAGGGAAATTAGGGGCCAAACCAAGTACAACACCCATGGTTCCCAACGTGCAACTCACTCAAGAAGGCACACCGTTTGAAGACCCAGAAAGATATAGAAGACTGGTTGGAAAGCTTAATTATCTCGCAGTCACTCGTCCAGATATTGCCTATTCTGTGAGTGTAGTGAGTCAATACATGTCATCTCCAACCATTGATCATTGGGCTGCAGTAGAACACATATTATGTTACTTAAAGGGTGCACCAGGACGAGGTATTGTTTACCAAAACCATGATCACATGAGAATAGAATGTTTTGCAGATGCTGATTGGGCCGGTTCTAAAGATGATCGAAGATCTACATCTGGTTATTGCGTCTTTGTTGGTGGTAATCTTGTATCTTGGAAGAGTAAGAAGCAGAATGTGGTTTCTCGTTCAAGTGCCGAATCAGAATATCGAGCTATGGCACAATCTGCATGTGAGATCATATGGATAAGCCATTTATTGACCGAGCTCGGACTGAAGACATCAATGCCTGCTAAATTGTGGTGTGATAACCAAGCTGCTATACACATAGCAAACAATCCTGTATTTCATGAGAGAACAAAGCATATTGAGGTCGATTGTCATTTTATTCGAGAGAAGATACAAAAAGGATTGATCTCTACAGGATATGTGAAGACTGGGGAACAACTTGGAGATTTGTTCACTAAAGCACTAAATGGAATTCGAGTTGATTATTTATGTAACAAGTTGGGCATGATAAATATCTATGCTCCAACTTGAGGGGGAGTGTGAAAGTATATTATAATATACTTTAGAATATGCTTTAGAATATTTTAGGAATATACCATATATAGTATTATTGTATAGCATCTTTTATAGGAATATTCTATCTTTGTAATCTATATTTAAAGGGCCTTACCCTTCAATGAAATACACAGAAAATCCTTTCCTCTCCAATATTATTTCTTAGTTTATGTGCTCTATTTCAACAGAAATCATGGTGGCAGAGGGAAACAAACTGTGAGAAACATACATCAATTGTTTCATGAAATTACATGTTGAGTGAATCTACTAGTGTAATAACTTTGATTCCAAGTTGATACCACATCTACTATAACCCTACAGATGGAGGCCAATACATTAATGTATGTATGATTCAACATGTATTCAAATTATCTGTGTTCAAATAATGAAAGAATAATTTAAATCTTTATTTCTATTTGGTTTTTTGTAGACTGTGACTCGTCCTGTAAATGTGGCTGATTTACCCTTCAATATGAGTGACTCGTCTTCATTATTAGCACACATAAGCTCTACCACCAGTGCCATGGAAAATGGAATGTGAAGACAATATATGATCAAGTTTTTATCTATTTGTATGGACCTAATTTTTGTGGCTGGTGTTCAAATCCTGGATAGCTTTTCTTGTCTAGTGCAGCACACATTTGGATATGTAATTTTGAAATTTTTTGTAGCTAGACATGGTGTTTAATGGGTTATAATTTTCTGCACTGATGCACACGAGAGGAGCTCCCCCAGGTTGCTCCTCTCGTTCCTTCCCGCGTCTCGACGAGCATAGTTCTCATCTCCCCCAGGTTGCGTTCGATATTGTCCAGGCTTTTCTCCATTCGCGGTGTGTATAATTCATTCACCACTCCAGCTCGTCGATGCTCCAGGATTATCGATTCAGACTCTGCCTCCAGGAGCGAGTGCTCTGATACCAATGATAGGAACTCCCCAAACACAGCAGAAAACTTAGTTATATATTGAGAGCAAATCATATTGAAAAGAAAAGTAAATACCTTGGAGGAGAAGAGTAGACCAGAGCAGAATAATGAGAAGATAAGAGCCTCAAAAATTACTGTCATCAGGCCATATGGTTTTAACTTTCCTCCTGTCACTAACTCATATAAAGCTCCTTTACCAGGTTAAGATATCTGATTGCCCGACTGACCTCTTCCAGAATGGAGGATGTTTCATTTTTGTTTTAGGCAAGCACCTGGTAAGGTCAAATGAGTTAGATAAATTTAAATAAGAACCAGATAAACATTAAAAAACCAATTAGAATTCAGCTCATGAGTTTCTACACTTTTCTTTTAAGCCCCATGATAAGCTCCTTTTCGCATATCATGCCTTTCCATAGTATCTAACTCCTCAGTGTGGACAGTGCCTATAACATAAAAGAATCGTTGATTAAAAAACACTCCATTATCATGACTACATATACAGAAATCAATCCACTCTCACTCCATAATACATATTTTCTTTTTAACAACAAAACGTTATTAGATGGAAAAGAATTACTGATGATCACCATACAAGTGATACAACTATTACATTTTGTACTGATATGCTTTGAATATAATAATAATAAAGATAAACATGTTTGTTTTAAAACAATAACAAAACATTTCTAATAAGCAAAATGCTTCATTTTCTTCCAACACTACTATCATTCAACGGGTCTTTTTTGCATTGATAAAAAAGCTAACTTTTATCTTAATAAAACATAAACTAATTTTAGCTAATAAAAACATAAACTGCACAGAGAGGGATACAAAGAAATAGGCATTCTCACCTACTTTTTCCTATCATATAATGTACAAGAACATGTGCTCTATCCCTTTCACATTGTTCTGCAAAACACAAAGTTCACAAAAATTTTTGGTGGCCAAAAACGGGAAACATACGGGAAAGGCAATTGTGGATCTGCCACAAGATGGTGAGGCCATTCCGAAACTCGAAACCAATGTATAATAGTATTTGAAAAAATGGCTTAGATATTACTCAACAGCTTTCTTCGGACAAAAATATGATCAAAATTCGTGTGGACAAAAAAGGAAGTAAAATTTCAGCCGTTTCCGTCCCATCTCGTTCATCTCCCAGATCTGTGCATTGTAAAATTTCACTGCCCATAGTTCATCTCCCAGATCTGCTCTTCCACCACATCTTCCTCTTCCATTCCCAGATCGGCACCTCCAGTCTTGCTGCTCCGCCGAAGGTACTTCGTCGCCTCCACCAGCACGTCAACGCCGCTCTTGGCTGCTCCGCCGAAGGTAGCCATAGTTTATCTCCCAGATCTGCTTCTCCTTTCTTCTTCGCCGTGTCTCCTTATGAAGGCTATAGCATCTACAGTTCGGAGATGGTGGTGGCTACGGTTCGGCAGTGATGGCGGCTAGGTTCGACGATGGACGGCGTCTATGGTTCAGCGGTGGGCAGCGGCTTGCAGGTGGAGGTGCGGTGGTTGGGGAGGGGGATAGGGTTGGGAAGGTTGGCTGAACAGGTGGCTAGCCGCTGGGGATGGGGAGGGGGAGGGGGCTAGGGTTGGGAAGGTTGGCTGTACAGGCGGCTGGCCGCTGGGAAAGGCGCTGGGGATGGGGCTGTGGCAGGGGAAGGGGAGGGGGTGTGCCTGTGTCGGCGGCGGTGGGAGGCGCTGGCGGCAGCGGCGGTGGGCAATGGGCTGGATGGTGGTCACTGATTTGGGGTGCTGGGGCATGAGGATGGGGAGGGACTCGGCAATTTACAAGAGACAGCGGTGGCGCTTGGATGGCGGTTCCGGCGGGTGGCTGGCGGCAATGTTGGATTGTGACTGTGTTGCCGGAAAAGGTGGTCGGGAAATTCTCCGGCAATCACAGTGACACGATTTACGGCGACAGTGACATTCGAAAGTGACACGAAAATTGATAGTGACAAAAAACTTTGATAGTGACATAAAAATTTGGTAATGACATAAAAATTTGACAGTGACATTATGTTTTTCCAAATATATGACTTAGTCACTTTTTTTGTCCTTTTAAAAAAAATGGTCACATTTTTGGAATTTGACTTTAATTTAGTAACATTTGGGGAAAAAAACCCATAGTATTTTATAATTGATGAATTATAGATTTCAACAGTTTAATTTTATAATATACAGTTGTCGAAAGGATTATATGAAAACTGATGGCACATATAGCTTTGTGTTCACATCATGTTGCAGCATTGCACTTGAAATAATGAAGCATCCAGTATGTAACAGGTATGGGTTGTCACGCTTTGGGAAAGCCAAGCAAAAGAAGCAAGGGGAATTGATGCAAGAAGCCTCAGTTACACACTAACTCATTGAGGAAGTTAAAAAATAACCTCAATCAACTATGGTCATTACAGATCATTAGCAGGTAGTGAGGTACACAAGCAGCTTGTTACAAGTAGGGTAAGAGGGCTTTAGACAGATAAAAAGAATTTAGGCAGATCATGTTTAAGCACAAAAATCCTACATTTGCTATTTTTTAGGTTGCTTAAGCGTAAACATATTTGCTTACCAGGTTGGTGCCAGCAGCCGCCCTCCAATAGCGTATATTTAAAAGTTGGTGCAGTAGAAAGCTTGTAGTTGGGCTTTCAGATGGGTCGGCCGGTCTGCCTCATTCGAGTTCACAAGACCACACTTTCACTTACTATGTCTAGCAGCTTGGAACTTGTGATTCTGAGAAATATTCCTGTGAGTCAAGTGCATCAATGAAAAATAGTCCCGCAACATCTATAAAGCCGACCACAGCTTTCAACGATTCCTGAAAACTTGTATGATGCATTCAAACAAAGGATGACACATACACAAAAGGAAACTAGTTGACAACAGTGAGTTTTGATATTAAAAATCAATAAATCATCATAGAACACATTAGTTATTGAATCAACATTAGTAAAAAATATCATAGGCAATATCATGAATATCATCTTCAATGCATTGAAATTCACTTTTTCATTATTGATTCTTTTCCTCTTTTCAGGCTCCATTTTTTTAATGTTCAACCCAACAGCATGAACACTGCTGCTTCAATATTTCACATCATGCTACAGTTTATGCTATCTTTAATTTTGAGACCAAATTCCCAAGCACAATATTTAAGATGAGCTTTATACTTGAGCATCCGACATAGTTAGGACTAGTCTACAAGAATAAAAATAATAAGGCCTTATTGTGAAAATAGTTTTATAGTCCCTTTTTCAAAATATAAGAAAAAACTTTATGATGGTGCATAAGTTTACAATGTTATCAAGAACATGCAATCAATACATGGTAGGGCTCAAACTATCACTTTTGGATACTTTGCGAAATGTTGCAAGACATGCAAGGTGCGCATGAAGAAAAAATATAAATGTTACTTGCTGTGAAACTTCATGAAAAAAATTGACCTTTAGGAATTGAGGTTGACAGATCTTACAACATGAATGTTAAACATTAGAAGTCCTTCCAAAATACATGTTGGGAATTCAATTAAAATTTAATCAACCAAACTTGCAATACTAACCTTCACTTCATGTTAAATGATAAACAACAACAGCTTTTACTGAAGTACCAAGAGCATCATGTTCAGACCTTCAAAAGTTTACCCAATCACAACTTACAAATATTCAAGAAATAAAACTTATGAGCCACACAACATAGGATGTTGAGTACCAGTACCACTGTTAATCTATAAATAAAGAGGACAATTGTCAAACACATCCCAATTAAGTGATCCTAAATTTTGAAAAAAGTTGTGAACTCCCGAAAGAAAAAAGGATACACTTATGAAATACCAATTTGTCAATTGTGTATCTGTATATAAATTAGCAAAACGGCTGAATCAAAGTCTAAAATGAATCTATTTATAAAATATAGAAGGTAGTTACATTTGCAAATGCAGAAGCAATGAAAGGACTAGCTTAAAATATAGACACATTATAGTGAGAACAAAATTTCAACAGTAACATAAAAAACTATTACTTAATGATTAAGCTATAATCATACCTTCAGAGTAAGAGATCAAGATGTTTCGGTTGGGGGGTGACATGGTAAACTCTTTACGGAGTTTCACAGTTACTCAAAATGTGAATTGAATAGATTTAAGAGATAAGTATGGCTCTTTTCCTCTTGCAGCCATCAAGGAAAGTGCGCCATATCAAAGCATTAGGAGGGAAAGGCATCTTATCAATTAGCTCCTCCGCTTCTACAAGACGACCACATCTTGCTAACAAATCAACAGCAATTACATAGTGATCCATTTCTGGCTCAACCCCATACTTGGAATTCATTTCCTTAAACAATGACATCCCTTGTTCAACCAACCCAGCATGCCTGCAAGCTGAAAGAACAGCCGTGAAGGCCACCGCATCAGGCTTAAAACCATTCATTATCATCTCATCAAATTTCTCTATTGCTTGATAAGCATATCCGTGTAGGCCAAGTGATGAAATAATAGCAGTCCATGAAATGACATTACTTTTGGTGATACCATTAAATATCTTTATTGAACTATCAAGGCTCCCACATTTTGCATACATGTTGATCATGACATTGCAGACAAATGTGTCGCACGAATTAGAATCGTTCTTAATAAGTAGGCTATGAAGAGAGCTGCCCAACCCCAAGTTGCATAGTGCAGTGCAACTACTGAATAGGCTAACATATGTGTAATTGTCGGGAATGACACCAGTTCTCTGCATGTGTCGAAATAGGTCAAAAACCTCTTTGTGATACCCAATTCTGGAACAAGCAGCAATCAAAATATTCCAAGATATCATGTCAGGAGGATCCTCAAGTGCGGAAAACAACTCCATAGTCTTATCATACTGACGGGATCTGTTATATATTCCAGCCATCACATTAGTTGAGACAACATCAAATGGTGTGCCATTAAAAGCTTTTGAGTTCAGTGCATCTGATAGTAAGCCATTTTTGGCATATCCACACATAAGAGAGCTTAATACATAAGAATACTCAAGGTAACCAGTTTTTATCATCAACGAATGAAGCTGCACTAATTCTGCTATGCGTGATGACTTCATGACAATAGAAAAAGAAAAATCATTTGGATAACAACCTCGGCGTATCATTTCCCGCATAAGCAAAAAGGAATCAGGAGATCCTCTATTTGAATATCCTAGCATCAACGTGTTCCAAGAAACTATACTCTTTTCGCATATGTCATTGAAACAACGATGTGCATCTTCCAATTTGTCGCATTTTACGTAAAAGCTTAATACAGCACTACCAACCCTTACATCAATTTCAAGCCTTTTCTTGAAAAGCTGTGCATGCAAAGCTTCTCCATCAGATATACTCTTTAGCCTAGTGCATGAATTAAGGACATTAATGAAAGTGATTTCATTTGCGGAGAACCCATTCGCATACATTTCCACGAAAGCACTCAATGCTTTATCTGGTGAATCACTATTTGCCATTGCTCCAATTATTATATTCCACGATATAGTATCCTTCACTGGCACTTCCTCAAACATTTTATTCGAAGTTTGTGCGCAAAAACATTTTGCGTACATGTTGACTAGAGAATTCTTAACTGAAATTGCAATGTCCAATCCATACTTCAGTGCAACTCCATGCACCTGTTCTCCTAATTCCACATCAGATAACTCCACAAAACAAGACAGAAGGCCAACAAACGTGGCCTCCGACAAACCCCTTCCATCTCTAAGTATCTCAATGAACATTTTCATCGAATTTTCAACATATCCATGTTGTCCGAACAACACAATCATTGAATTCCATGTAACCAAATTCTTTCGAGGCATGCTCTTAAAAATCTGCCAGGCCTCATGTATACACCCGCATTTTCCAAGGGTAGTCAGTAATGAGGTCCCTACAAAAGCATTAGTATGAAACAATGGTGTCTTTTCAATCAGTGCATGCAATTGTGCCACTTGATGATAATTCAAGAACTTGCACGACAACAGCCCCCCAAAAGTAAATTGAGTGGGATCAAATCCACACCTCCTTATCTCAGAAAACAGCTTCCAAGCTTCACTTACATTCCCATATTGACTATACGCAGTAATCATAGTATTGTAAGACACAGCATTTTTATGTGTCATTTCATCAAACAAACCTCGAGCTTCATTCACGTCACCATAAAGGACATATTTGGATAAGACATTGTTGAGAGGGAAAATGACTTGTTCCAGGGTAAAACCAATTTTGATGATGAGTGCATGAAGAGACTTGGTTACACCAAGGGAATGAATTTGAACCCATGTTAACGGTTCTTGAAGTAACTCTATGAGTCCAGAGTGTTTGATATTTTCAACATGATAAAGACAATTCTCAGTAGAAAATGAACACTGGAATCTTGGACCACTGAAGAAAAGAAATTTGATTTTCAAAAACTTTGTGGTGATGGAAGCCAATGAAATCGCCTTTTTCATTACGTTAGGACTCAAACCTGGGAGATTCAACATAAGAGCATTTAGTAATTGTTTACATTTTAGAACATGCACAACCAGAAATCTAAAAAAGTGGGTGTTCACATCAGCAGAAGTGGAGTGGCTGATAAATAAAGGTTTGATGAACTCTAGCTTTCCATTTTAACAAAGAGCAGCAGCCTTAAAGCATGCAAATGTTATAAGGAGTATTACTTAGAGGATAATTACAATAGGAACCTAAATTAGCTATTAGATGATATCTGACACCAGGGCCATAAGTGAATAAAAGTCCAAACAGCGAGAACAAGTCAGCTTTCCTTCATTTATTCTTTTCAAACATAACACCCTTGTAAAATTGCCAACAATAAATTTATAACCAGTAGCTTTGTATCGAAATTAAGATTTTCTTCAAATTAGTTTCCTTCTGAATCCACATACAAATCTCAAAACTGTAATGCAAATGAAGAGACAGCCAAAGTAACTAGAGTCAAAGAGGATATTTTCTCACTGATATGCATGTCATAAATGTAAAAAAGAACTTATAACCTCAAAGTACATTGGTTGGACAGTTGGACCTCAAAAAGCACAATTCATACTTACTTAGGAAACAAGACCAGGATCACTCTTAAACAACTTTCTCAGAGTTGTCACCACCAATTTTTCCTGCATTTTTGAAATTATGTGGAATGCACCTGGGGAATAATCAAACTAATATCAAATTTAAAAAAACATTATAACTATTCTAAATGATCTGTTTTCCCAACACATTATCCCATTTGGCATCTCTTCCATTAAAAAAAGAGTAACGAAACTATTATAGATTAAGGTATTTATCCATGTTAAGATTCCTAGCTAAATAAAGTTGAAACTTATAAAGAAGCAACAATCTAATCAGGGGCGAAGCCAAGAATTTGGTTCAGCAAGGTCAAAAACTAAAGGCATAATTTTTTTTTTGAGAAAAAACGCCAAATATATTATATTAAAAGATCATGAGCCAAGAGTTTACAATAAAAGAAGGCGGCGTTGTAAAATTAAAAAATTAACCCGGATGGAGAAAGTTTGGATTCATGTATGAAATAAATGGAAAGTTTAACCATGAGGTAACAAATACTGTTGCATTTAGTACCACTGTGTAACTTCTTCATATATCATCAGAATTCAGATCAGGACTAATACTTTCCTAATCAATTTTCTCTTACATTTATTCAGGGAATTAAATTCAGCTTCAACTCTTCAATAAAGATCAGCAATAAAATTAAAAAAGTTCAAATAAATCAAAATATGTGATCTTTTAGTTCTTTATGATAATTTTTACGGAAATTGTCCTAAATAGGACTAACAAGTTTCTAAAAAGCACAAATAGGACTATTACTTTTAAAATTCCCTAAATAGGACTAAACATTGATTTTCTACCCTAAATACCCCTAAGAGTATTAATTTATAAAGAAATGCTTTAATTCATAATAAAATCATAAAAAATGTAAAAAATATTTAAAAAACGTAAAAAAATTATAAAAAATTTATAAAACATTTATAAAATAAAAAATTTAATAAATTTTTTATTTTTTTTATTTTTTAAAAAAAATAATAATAAATAGTAAAAATCCATAAAAAATGAAAAAAATTATGGATACCTTTCCCACCGCCGCCTCCCAGCACCACCACCTCCGATTGGTGAAATTTCTTCCACTTTTGGTAAAAAAAATGCCATATTTTTCTGAAAATGCCAAAAAGATGGCATAATTACTCTTCAATATGCCAACATTTTCATTAAATATGCCATCATTATGGCATTATTTAAAATGTTGGCATATTTTTCTCCGGTGACGGGAGCTGGTGGTGCTGGGGGTGGCAGGGGTGGTGATGTTTTTTTTTATTTTATGAATTTTTTTTATTTTTTTATTTTTTTAAAAAAATATTTTTTTTTTATTTTTTAAAAAATATTTTTATTAATTTTCTATAATTTTTTACGATTTTTAGTATTTTTTTCGATTTTTATTAATTTTTTTATGATTTTATTATTAATTAAAACATTTCATAAGTTACAAGGGTATATTTGTCCAAACACACATAAATAGTCCTATTAAGGGAATTTAAAAAATGTAGTCCTATTTGTGCAATTTTGCCATTTTTTAGTCCTATTTAGGGAATTGACTCTAATTTTTAATAATTCATATCTTATCATGATAAACTTTAGTCCAAATTCCTATTTAGTACAATCTCCCGGTTTAACTCTTCAACTCAAACTTCTGTTTTAATTCCCAGTTTTAACTCTTCAGCTCAAACTCCTGTTTTAATCTGCCAGTTTTTACTCTTTAGCTCAAACTCCTATTCAGTTCAATCTGCCAGTTGAACTTTAACTCTTCAAGAAAGCATGTCTATCAATGCAGTCTGCAATCTACAATTTAATATGTGAACCCTTCAAACTCAATGATTTCTCTAACATTTACCTAATTATTTCCCCCAATAGTGAACACCTCAAAGTCAATGTTTAAACCCTTCAATTACAGCCTCTAAATGCTCAATACTTCTAAAGTTCTAATTAAAAACTAACCTGCAAGGTTGCAATTCACAATTACTTGAAGCTTGAAGGCTTGAGGCGGTGAAGATAAAAGAAGAGTCGGCCGGCTGGAGAAGACCACTAAAGCTGCGGTGTGCGGTGTGCCTGACTAGAGATGAACACTGCGGCTGTCTTCTGTAACCTGTGGGACTGCGGCTCTGCGGGCTGAGGAAGGCGCGGAAGACGGCGGACCAGTTGGAGTTGAACGGCTGATTGTCTCTGGGAGAAGGATTTGTGGAATAGAGTAGGGGTGGGCAAACTGGTTTGGGAACCGCGGTCCCGTCCGGGTAACGGCAGTTCGAGTTCAAAACGGATAGGTTCCATTTTTTGTTTCCATAAAACGGTCCGGGTAGGGTCGGATAATTTTTTTAAGGAACCGGACCAGTTCCAAAATTAAAAAAGAACGGGTACCCAGCCCGGCCCGTTATATATATTGTATATTAATTTATTAATAGTTTTGTGATAATCGGTTTTGAAATAGTTTTGTTTCCTGTTCTAGAAGTAGAATTTTAAATATTTCAAATTGAGTTGCAGTAACATCCTTTTGTTTTCAAATTATTGATTAAATATTTCATAAATATCTTATTACTTTTTATTGTTATTGAATTATTCCTTTCTATGGAATTTAATTATTTGTTTAAGATGATTTTGTTATATTTTTTTATTATATTGTTATTAAAATATATAAATTGTGTTTACCAAACACCATGTATGTGTCAACTTTGGCTAATACTGAAAATTTAATATAAAAAAGCAATCAATTTAATATGTGATGTTAGACAACATGTTTAAACACAAATATTAGAAAATATGTATTTTAGCTATGTTGCATATTTTTTGAATTTCTTTAATTGTTTGAAACTTATATACAAGAAAATATGAAGTATTGGACTTACCGCTTGTGTTATATATGCACTACTATGTTGTTATTTTGAAACTTGCTAATATCCTATATTATTGATTATTGATTTTTGGGACTGCGTGAGTTTTTACTAATTTCAAGACACGAGAATAGAAACTGTAAAACCCGGACCGGACCGACCCGTTTCAAATGGACCGGGTAATTTCCGGTTCCTATTTTGAAAATTGTAATACCCAAACCGGACCAAACCGTAAAATGAAACCAGCGGTTCCATTTTATTTTGCATTACCCGCCCTGATCCGGTCCGTGTCCAGCCCTAGAATAGAGGGCAAAACCTTCACGCAGAAGTCAGGCAAGAAGGGGTTTGCGACTTTGCGTATAAGATTTCTTTGCGTTTCAAAAACGACATTGTTCAATTAAAAAAATTATTTTTTTCCAAAATTCCAGCAGGGTCCACGACCCCCTTGACCCCTAGTACCTCCACCCCTGAATCTAATGACAGAAAAAACATATACTCCGTATAAATTTATAATACGTAGTATATAATATATAATATATAATTAAGTACATTGATGAGTTCTTTGAGTCTATGGAAATAAACAGAGCAATTGTTCCCTGCCTTTAAACAAAATACCAAAAAAGAATGGAAATAAAGTAGATAGTTTGAAATCGAAGAATAAAAAATAGCTTAATGGAGTTCTGGGAAAGTATTTCAGCTCATGAGTATGGAAAGGCTAAAACTATTGAATCAGTTTTACTCCGTATAACATTACCTAGAAGAACGAATGGGTGGAGAATAATACGGTGTAGAAAGTATTACGAGTATAAAACTATGATGTCTGGGAGAAAAAGTGACTGACACCCAGTATAGCAGATAATTGTAGATAAACTCAAGTACATTAATTCAGTCCAAAAAATCGGAGAAAACTCGGCAACTGTAGATAAAATTTAATACAAAAATCAAATAAAATAAAAAACAGTGTATTACTATTATTAAAATGAAATTTGGAAGATGCAAATTTGGACCATTTATCGATTTCGCAAGGACCCTGGTGGTCTTCGTTGTATTGTTCAAATTTATAGGATGTCCCCGAATGGACACTACGTACGACTTATGCAGAACATTATTAGTAACGAGCAACCACATTTGTGGAATGTTTTTGAGAACAAGTATGGTTGTATTTCATATACTTGATATCTAAAATACTACTCCCTCCGTTTCAGTTTGGTTGACACACTTTCCTTTTTTGGACGTTTCAAAATGAATGCCACACTTCCCATTTGGTAAACAAAACAGTGTCAAACAGTGCCAAACAGTGTTCAAACAGTGCCAAACAGTGTCCAAACAGTGTTCAAATAGTGTCCAAACAGTGCCCAAACAGTAAAATTTACCCCTTAGTAAATGTTTTCCTTAAATGTTGACAAATCAAACTATGTCAACCAAACTGAAACGGAGGGAGTATAAAAGAAGCTATATTTATAGCTATATTTAGAGTACTAGGGTTTCCTTTACAAATGGACTAAGCCCAATACTAATAGGGTTTCCACACTCCCCTCAAGCTGGAGCATATAAATCATATGTACCAAGCTTGTTACAAATATATTCCACTCTAGGACCTCTAAGAGACTTAGTTAAAATATCAGCAAGTTGTTCAATTGTGTTCACATATTTTGTGATGATATATCCACTCGTGATCTTCTCTCGGATAAAATGACAATCAACTTCAATATGTTTTGTCCTCTCATGATATACCGGATTCGATGCGATGTGCATTGCAGCTTGATTATCACCATTGTTCTAAAACTCGCTAGGCGCTAGTCGGGCGGTTGAGGGGCGCCTAGCGCCTAGGCGGCCGACTAGGCCGGTTTTTAGGCCGACTAGGGCGATTTTTTGGCCGACTAGGACGATTCGGCCTCTACGGTTAGGGCCGACTAGGCCGCCTAGGCCGATTAATCGGTCCGCCTAGGCCGATTTTTAGAACAATGATTATCACACATGAGTTGAACCGGTTTTGTGTTCCCATATTTTAACTCTTGAAGGAGATTCTTCAACTATAAGATTTCACATGTAGCAAGGGTCATTGCACGATATTCTGCTTCAACACTAGATCTGGCAACCACATCCTGTTTCTTACTTTTCCATGAAATTAAGTTTCCACCAATCAAGATGCAATATCCCGAAGTGGGACATCTATCCATCGGACATCCGGCCCAGTCTACATCACAGTATCCCACAATATCATGGTGGCCTCGATCTTCAAACAACAATCCTTGCCCTGGAGTTTTCTTGATGTATCTCAAAACTCGGATAACTGCATCTCAGTGTCCAGTACAAGGCTTATCGAGAAACTGACAAAAAACACTTACCGCAAATGAAAGATCTATATTTTTCTTTGTTGGGCAAAAGATCTCCCTGTTCTGATAAGAGTTTAACGTTCGGATCCATTGGTGTATCCACTACCTGCAATCTAGCAAACCTGTTTCCTCAAGAATATCCAAGGCATACTTTCTTTGTGAGAGAGCAATTCCATCTTGAGACTGTGCGACCTCAATGCGAAGGAAGTATCTCAATTTTCCCAAGTCTTTTGTTTGAAATTTGCTAAAGAGATGTTGCTTGAGGAGCGCAATTCCTTAATCATCACTACCTGTAATGACAATGTCATCAACATACACAACAAGATAAATACATTTGTTGCCAGCAGAATGTCTGTAGAATACGGGGTTACCTAACAAGCTCCCGATCTAAATGTTAGTTGAGACCCAGCGCACAAATTCAAAAGTTACGTGTTTGGTGAAAAGGTTAGTTGAGAAGCATGATAATCCGAAAACGGGGTTACCTAACAAGCTCCCGATCTAAATGTCATTTGTCGCAAACTCTCGAAGTTTCAGACCCATGCTTGTGTACGAACAATAGAGCACTCCTCTCCCTAGTGCATATGTCCCGCGGATTCAAATTACAAACCCCTAGCGGCGAGTGGAGATCTATCTATGGGTATTGAGTCGCACTATATATGCTAATTAATTTCGTCATTTAATCATGATTTAAATTTACGAGTAAGGCTAAGATGCTTTAACTCTTTTAGGGTGAGACATATCTTCAAAGACAATGACATCAGGTATAACCTTTCTTTCAAAGCTTGGACTGAGCTCTGGCTTCAAAACTTATGGTCACTTTCGATTGATGGGCTCCTAATTCAATAATGAAATTTAAGTTTCAAATATTATAATCACCTTATTTGAATACTGGTGTGTAGCATATAATGGGCACACAACTATTTTTTACCCAAGGAAGTAGGGTGTCGAACCACAGAGAAGCGGGAAATAAAATAATTAAGCACAAACTAAGGATTAAAGTCGAGAATGCATTTCTTTTGATTTTTGGTTGCTTGCAAAAGTAATAAAATACAAGTGATTGGTATGAGAGATTTTTATCAACACCAAGTTCAACAAATAGCAAGTAGGGGTAGAAATTGGTAACTAATTGTTTAATGTTTAATTGAAAGAAATAATTGCTAATTTATTCTTAGATAGATTGTGAAAAGTTGTAGTTAAATATTTTAGGACCCAACACAAGTCATCTAAAATAAGTAACTAGTCAACATTTCCCAGTGATGGCCAAAACGAGACTAGTTGTTTAAGTGCAATGACAACCTTAATTATTAACTATATTATTTACCCAACCCCGTGGTGTAAATAATATAATTAAATAATTAATTTATCCCATAAAACTTCAATCCAGAACAAGGTAAAAGAAGTTTAACAGTGTGTTCAAAAAGTGTTCATTTGTGTATTTAACAAACAATATGTTTATGATTGAGTACTCATAATATATATCACAAACAAAAAACATTATTAATTTTCTGGACACAACAATCTAAATAGAACAAACTTAACAATTAAAATCAATACAAATTAGAACATGATAAGAACAATTAATTACCCAATTTCTAGCCCCAAATTTATTTAGCTATACATGTTGGGAAGCTTAGAAATAGATGAATTCATGATTAAAGTACAAGATTTAAAGAGATAAGGAAGATCAAACTTGTGATAGATGACAATCCTTGGAGCTTGATGCTAATCTTGACTTATTCTTGATTGAGAAAGTGATTAATTGATGTTGAAGATTGGTTGATGATTTGGAGGTGAAGAATGAAGAGAGGACGGAGAAGGAAATGATTCTGGGAGGTGTAGAGAGAAGTTGGCTCGAGATTATGTGTGGAAGGAGATGGATTAAGCCGGTGATTAATCATTAATCTGCTAGAATTTACGGAACTGGAGAGTATATGTACACAAAAACGCGTCAAAGTACCAATAACACGTAGCAATGCATCGGTGATGGAGAGCTGTTTTGACACGGAGGTTGCGGGTTCGATCCCGTGCTTTGACTTCTATTTTTCTTCTTTTCCTTGATGCGATGGGATGCAATTAAAACAAGCTCCAGCTTAGCTATCTCAACTTTGACACTCAGCGCGCTGGTTCAGCGTGCGTTCTTTCTACCCTAGGAACAGAGTTTGAATCCTGTCTTCGTTTTTTCTTAGTTTTGCTTCCTTTCTTCAATGTACTCCATATTTGCTTTGAAGGAGATTCCACTTTTGTTGTTTTCCGACTTGAGCTTTTATTTTCTTCTCTTCTTCACACTCAAATGTATCCAAATAACATCAAATGTACCTGAAAATATAAAATACCCGTATAGAACTGCACTAATACAAACTAACATCAAATACTAAAAATATGTACAAAGATACAACTTTATTAACTAAAATTAACAACAAACTAACCCTAAAAAGTGTGTAAAATACAAACACATCAAATACGTACCTACAATTAAAGACCACTAATAAAGACTATCTTACTCCATTTCACCTTGCCCTCATTGGTCTCAAGGAGTGGGAAACCAGAGGACTTGTCATCTTCCAAGATGCAAAAGATGATCTTGCACAAAGGATGATGATGAAGTGATGAGGTTGGGGCTGACATGGACGAGGCTGAGACTGTCATAGTTTAGGGAGAGCATAACACAAACAAGGTTAAGATTGTCATTGCTCATGAAGCCAAGCATGAGGTGGATGGACGAGGCCGACCACAATAGATGACAATAGAGACTTACCTTCTTTGTTATCATTTTGGGGGCATCTGGTATACCCTTTTGCATTCAATAGGATTTGCCCACTCGATTTTCCCATGTTTTTAACGAGGCACTTCCCCATCACTGGCAAGGAGGGGGGCTTCAGATCTAGAAGAAAGACATCATGGACATAACGATGCAGTAAATGCATTTATGACACTACTAGAAAAATAGCTATTTGTTGCGGTCATTTTTGGCTATTTGCTGCGGTTCTGAACCGCAGCAATTGGCGGGGCAGCAAATAGTAGAAAAACGTATTTGCTGCGGTCCCGAACCGCAGCAAATAGCTACTTAAAAAAAATAAAATTTTACTTATTGCTGCGGTTCAAAACCGCAGCAAATACCCATTTTTTTAAATGCCTTTGACTTATTGCTGCGCTATACAACTGGAGCAAATACTTTAAAAAATGGCATACATCTTTTGTTTTTAATCCTTTCAAAATTGTAAAGCTCAGGTTTTACATCAACGAAGGTCTAGTTTACAAAAATAAGGAAAAATCATCTCTACTAACTTCGTTTTCCATTAGCACAAATCAGAATTACAATCCCAATATTTTGAGTTATACATCACCAAAGTTTAAAAGGAATACAATACAAATTGTCATCTTTTTATGTGCCACTAAAGTTTACAAAAACAATTATCACATATTGACATATATGGCCAGTTCCTTGCACACTTCAGATTCTTCATCACCCAACAAAGGCTCTTTTGATGCTTCAATAAACCTACAAATTAAACATTTACAATTATAATTAGAAAATGATTATGGCAAATATTCACATTACATCAATTCCAAACAAATTTAGATCAGATCTACCGAAATGTTATATTTCAAACAAAACCACACATTCAAAACAGAGAACAACAAAATCATTTAAAGAAAAAAAAATCATATCAGAAAGACTTGTATAACAAAACCACACATTCATTTATGGTTTAGATGTATACTCTAAATCTTTAATATCTTCCCCAAAAAAATCAAATCAAGGAAAAAGTGAATATAAATGTAATAGTTGTCGATACATGATGCATCCATAAAAAGTGAAGTAGGGATCACATAATAACAAAAGTCAACATAGAGCAAAAAGATACTAACTTGGTATATACCCAATGCCTCTAAAAAGTCCAAGACCATCATATGTTCATAGTTTCATACCCCCGGTAATAATAGTACGATACTCTTTTTAATATCAATAAGGCTATTTGTTATCCTCTCCACTTTAGAGTCAAGATTTTTTTAACATATACTTTTATGTGTCATTTAGTTTTCCCCTTTTAGAAGCCTCAGAGCCTCAACTAGTTCGAATAAGTGAAATTAAAGATTATTAATTTAATCATAACCTGTGACACATAATTACTACAAAAAATATACTCAACAACTTCATCCAGACAGCTACATCAATCTTAATTTTATAAATTCATAGAAATTCTAAATTTTCATAGAATGATAAATACCTAAACAAACAAATCAAAATTATAAAAAATTGAGAAATAACCTCTAATAAATGAAGAGGAGACTGCAAAATGTAGGAGGCAGAGGAGGAGGTGGCAAACAGGGAGCGTCAGCAGCAAACAAGGAGCGGTGGCAGTGGCGAATAGGAAGAGTGGCAGCTAAAGTTCCAGTAGTTGATTGACGTCCACCAGCGGCGGCAACTTGGTCCTTACACTGGGAGGAACATTGACTAGTCATTGCTTACATCTTTTAGAAGGTGAACTTAAAATACTTGGACAGAACAAGAAATGAAATAAAGTCAAACAATAGAATGATATAACCAAACAAGAAGCGAATACATGATACAAACCACGGTAGCACAATAAAGAAATACCAGATATGATTTCTCAAAATGGAGTACATACTTGATTACTTATGACCCAAAAGTTCCTTAAATTATCATTTTCCTTATTTAGTGGCAATGATAATCTGATAAGAGTTTCATATAACATGGGGCATACGGATATACTCAGTCACCATTCAAGTTGAAGTTACGTTTCTCTTTTGTAAGTTACACGAGATTGAATGGTAACTTGTTTATAACAGTGTGTGTAAGAAAACCATTAAAAAGCAGCAAACAAAGCAACAATAAGGAAGCCTTACAGTAAGATGTATAGCGGGTTAATAACCTAACCTCTTCTTCTCCTAGTCCAGAGCTTACAATAACCGACCTGCCACTGCAATAATCTTCATTCACATTGACTTTTTTTTAACATTGCAATGCACATCAAATTCCAATGTGACGCTTATACAACAGTTCAATGCATTATTTACATTATAAAACAAGGCATGTGCTGTATTTACACATATAGAGAAACCAATTTCTAGTTGAAAGCTTAATGCCTCAAACACCCAACTAGATTTCAACACAAAATTGCTTCGACAAAATTGACCAATGTCGAAATCACCAAATCAGACCAAAAGGGACACAAAACTCAGTACCATTCTGCCGCTACATACATTTACTTTACATCATCTACCACACCCTTGCCCTCTAAACTAAAAGCAAAGCACTCTTAATCATATCTCAACACGCAATAGACATATTTACTTGCAGGAGATTCTAGACCATATATACACTAAGCATAAGGAATCATAATAGTCCACTAATTTTCTCAATTGTTGAAGGAAAAGGCTAAGAACTCTTCCAGACCGTATTAAACTTGCATATATGGCCACTAAATTTACCCAATTGTCAAGTATTGAGACTAATTTTATGAGCTCATAGAACTATTATATTATCATAAAATGACAAAATAAATAACAAAGCATTCAAATCATAAGAGATCAAGCAATAAACCTCCAAAAAGAGAAGAGGGGGCGGCGATGACTTGCAGGAGGCAGATGATGAGGCGGAGCAGGAGACGATTGAAGGTGCAGCGGTGACTAAATGTCGGCATCCACGCCTTGCTGCTGGTAAGGAGGCGTCTTTGCTTCTGCTAGGGCGGCAGCATCTTGCTGCTGGGAGGGGGGCGACGGTGGTATGCTGCTGGGAGGGGCGGTGAGATGCTGTGAGGGGCGGTGGCGGTGAGATGCTGAGAGGGGCAGTGGCGGTGAGATCTGGGAGGGGGGCGGTGGCGGTGAGATCTGGGAGGGGGGCGGCGGCTTGGGCGGAACCTTTAGGAGAGGTCGATTATACTTCGTACTCGTATACTCCCTCCGTTTCAGTTTGGTTGACATAGTTTGATTTGTCAACATTTAAGGAAAACATTTACTAAGGGGTAAATTTTACTGTTTGGGCACTGTTTGGACACTATTTGAACACTGTTTGGAAACTGTTTGGCACTGTTGGACACTGTTTGGCACTGTTTGAACACTGTTTGGCACTGTTTGACACTGTTTTGTTTACCAAATGGGAAGTGTGGCATTCATTTTGAAACGTCCAAAAAAGGAAAGTGTGTCAACCAAACTGAAACGGAGGGAGTATATGTTAGATAAAAGAGATAAAAAGTATGTTAGAGAAGCTTGAGAAATTCACAGTTTAAAAACACCCAAGCACCACAAGTTCTGCGGTTTCTACAAGCCCGCATCACATAGTCAATATCTGTTGACATATTGCTACGGTTAAAGCATGACCGAAGCAAAAATTCAAATCGACTACTTATTTGCTGCGATTTTACCCTTAACGCAGCAATAAGTATCAAAAAGTGTAGGTAATTGCATCGGTTTGTTCATGACCGCAGTATATAGTTAAAAAAATCACTAATTGCTACGCTTTTGTTTAGAACCGCAGCAAATGAGGAGCAGCAAATGAAAGAAAATCTAGTAGTGTGAACTACTATCTTTCGTCTTGAGTTCTCTCGCCTATGGGAGTGAAGGACTTGTGATAATATATACTCGTGCTATTTAGAGCATGAATGTTCAAGCTAGCATTTCATGTATTGGGCCTAATCAGTTTGTTTGCGTTTTGTCCCGTTGCATTTTGTAACTTGTGGAATCTTTTCTATGAATAGACAAATAGACATGACATTGTATTGTAAAAAAATCATTCTATCGAATAACACTATTCATCTTTCAACCTAGCTCATATCTCTCTGGTCTATGTATTGTATGAATAGAAACATCGCAAATATTATACACACAAACATGATCAAATAGAATAAAAAGAAGTGTAATTACAATACAAGAACAACATTATCCAGAATTAATCGGTCTTATACTCCATGTCGTCATATTTAATTTATATGAAACATTCCGGCCAACTTGTGTACAAGTCAAATGAAATAACTAATTTAAACAATCTCAATCTATTTAATATACCATTAATTATACAATATGTACCACCATTATTCACATCAATGATATATATTTCTGCTATACTGGACTTCTGATAAAGACAAATTGGAGATAAAATAAGCAAACATGACATTAATATTATAAAAAGGGCATGCATAAAACTACTCCCTCCGTATCTTTAAAATCTTCCCATTTCAAAAGTAGGTAGATTAAGAATAGTGAAAGATGATATGAATTATTGAGGGTATGATGGGAAAATAGTGGAATAATGTGGTGGAATGTAGGATAAATCCAAAAAAAGTAGTTGTAATAGTGTATTATTTTAAGAATTATTGAGGGTATGATGAGAAGATTTAGAAATGGGGAGATTTTTGTGTTACGGACGAAAAAGGAAAGTGGGAAGATTTTAAGTTACGGAATGACATAAAAGAGTACATACATAACACACAAACAATACATCATATGTGATTGGCTAATACAAGGAAGAAGACAAGCGAGGTGAAATTAGAATCTCAAGTGGGGTGGCTTTAAGATTCGTTAGTCCAAAACTCTCACTCATATCAATGGGAGCATATGTTGACAGTTCAAAGAAATGCAATACATTAGCGAGCACCAAATGCAACATCTGCAATCCAAATGCTATGCCTGGGCACACTCTTCTACCCGCACCAAACGGAATCAACTCGAAACCATTATTCCACTTGTGACTGTTATCATTAAAAATAAATCTTTCTGGTTTGAAATCATTAGGATCTGACCAAAGGTGCGGGTCTCGTTGGAGCTTCCAGATATTTAAGTAAAGCCAAGTGCCTTTTGGGACATGAAACCCGTGTATGATACAATCCTCTCTGAACACTCTTGGTCCTCCAAGGGGTGCAGCAGGGTACAACCTTAATGTTTCTTTGACTATGGCCTGGAGATATACTAAAGAATTGATGTCTGATTCGTTGACTCTTCTTTCTTTGCCCACCACCTTGTCTAGCTCTTCCTGAGCCATCTTCAACACGTGATTGTTGTTTATGATCAATGAAAGAGCCCAGGTAAGCATTACCATGGTCGTATCTGCTCCTCCCGAAAGTAATGACTATGCATGTTATAAAATGACATTAAAACAACTTGCTAATGATTATATATTTACTCACTATGATTAGTCACATTTATCTTAAATAGATAAGAAATAAACTTATATACATATGATTCTCATCTTAATTGATGACCATACTGAAATTGGTTGGTCCACACACGATTAAAATAAAGGTGACAATTCCGGTACCCATTTAAAAAATGGGGTATCGTACCTATCATACATTTGATTGGTCCAAATCATTAAATCCCCTTTAATTTAGATTTAAATAATTCAAATGCATGATTCTGATTAGTCCATGTGAACAACGGTACGGTAGCTTATGAGTACCATATAATCTATCTAAAATAAATTAGGTTAGATTCATTCAAATAAAATTATACGAGACCAAATAAGCATTCCTAAATTCACTTTAAAATAGCCAAATGGGGAACATTGAAGGGGGTATAAAGGTGATAAAATCTATTTATACACATATACGGAGTATTTCATAAATGGAGAAGCAATTAAGAAGGAACAAAATTGGTTAATGCGCCATTCCTGGATAAGAACAAAAGTATTCGGACTTGCGTCACTAAAATGTTTAGTTTGACAAAAAAAATGCACCAAAGAAATGTCTCTGTCTCTATCCTAAAATACTTAACCCCACGATTGATCTCTTTTTTGGCAAATAGTGATGATGCATTTTATTGAAAAAGTTTTACTCCGTAAATTATAACACTCCGTAGTGTGAAAGTTCATACAAATGTAGTATGAAAATTATACAGCGTATAACATCAACATTTCCTTGTACTATTTGGATTAAAATATTTCCATTCAAAATTTTACCACAATAATCAGATGTGATGTACTCGTACCAAAAACATACACACCGTGTGTCACGCAAAAAAGCGTCTTCTACGGACTACGAACAAAGACAAATTATAGATTTCATAGTATACGATCAATCAAATGAAGGGATTTTTACTTCTATCACCATGTTTGGTTTTGGTTTAGAGTAGTTTGGTGGCACATAATTCCATTGTCAATGCATACCTAGTTACCTATTTTTGCAAATAGGACAACATTCAAGAAATTAAAATTTTGAATCCTCATTAATGAAATAAAATTTAGCCTCGCAGTCGCGCGCAGTTGTCATCCACCATCAATAACTTAGTGTTTTGGACATTTAGAATGAACTAAACTAAGCTAGCTCTAGATATTAAGGTCGACCTGTTTGTTAAGTTTGTTTTTTGGTTTATCAGTTTTATAAATACTACGCGTAACATTTTTTATTAAACACACAACTTTTAATCTTGCGCACCTGTACGTATAATACAAAACACAAAACTTTTAATCTCGCGCGCCTATACGTATAATACAAAAGTTATAGAAAAAATAATGTTGAAGTTACTCTGAATGAAATGAAGAATTAATTATTAGCGCTCAAATATACTAGGGAGTACTACGTATTAGTCATACCATTAGAGCCTAAGTAAGTGCTAAGTTAATTAAAGAGTTAATAATTGGAGGAGGTAATTGAGTAATTGTGTGGGAATTACCATGCAAGTTGATTTGATGGCAGTTTCGTCAGAATCGTAACCAGTACGAATCATGACATCAATAAAATCTTTCTCACCACCGCCGCCGGCATCCCCGGTTGCTTCTTCTTTGAGCCGGCGGCGATGTTCCCGGAGCCATTGGTCAACGAGAGAATCCATTTCTTTAGCAACTCCTTTCATGGCTTTCTCATACCCACCAAGATCTAACCATCTCAAGATCGGCAGGGCATCCGCCGGAACAGCAACCCCAAGATGGTGAAGAAACTCTCTCAACACCCTTTGGCAACGCCGGCCGTCGTCGTCACCGCCACTCTCCGCCGTCCCCCCAAAGCATCTCTTTCCGGCGATCATCCGAAGGAACACGTTCATACTCACGTCTCCGAACCATCTCTTCATTTCCACCAAAACCGGGACACCATCTCCGCCGCCTGCGGCGGCGCTCTTTTCCCTCCAAAGATCATAAAGCTCCTTGACGGCGGTTTCGACCTCGGAGACTCTGACGTGGCTCAGCTGCTCAAGCCGCCGGTGGGAGAGAAGCTGCGTGGTGGTGAGCTTCCGAATATCTCGCCAGTAAGGGCCGTAGGGTGAGAAGCCAAACATCTTGTAGCCGTAGCCCAAGTGCTCGGCGGCGCGAAACCTCGGACGATCCGAAACGCTGACGTCGTGGGAAGTGAAAATTTCGTGGGCCCACTTCCAGTCGCTGACGACCAACACCCTCTTCAAGCCGATCCGGATAGTGAACGCCGGTCCGTAATTGTCAGCCAATTCTCCGACGGCCACGTGTGCAGGGACGGAGCCTCTGAAGAGGTGGAGATGGCCCAAAACTGGCCTCCCTCCGCCGGCTGCCGGCGGTAGCTTGTGTTTCTCGAAGTGGTTTGACTGGGTACGGAAATAATGAAAAATTACATAAAAACAAGCAATCTCTAGAGCAATAATTGAACTAGCCAGAAAGTCTTGGAGTACAAATTCCATTTTTGTAAGCTAGTTTGATTTACATGATTAACAATAGGATCAGATCATACGGAGTATATACGTAGGAAATTTTCCTTTGATAGTGGCCTCAGCATGGGCTAGGAAACTTTTTCTTTGTTTTCAATTTTAACCTTGCAGTGGGGCCAGCTGGCCTGGGGCCATGACGGTGAAATGTGAAATGGCCCACTAATTGATAATGTTTTTAATGGCTATCGAATTAATATGACAATGAAGTTAGGAGGAGAAGAGAAACAGACATAGAAACAGCAGCTCTAGCGATACAATGAGCTACCTGATTCGCTGGCCGTCTACACCAAACAATTTTAAAATTGTCATTACTTTTTAACAAAAAATTGATGTCTTCGAAGATAACTCCAACGGGAGAAGCACATTCCTCCCCTTGAACACCTGCTACCACCAACTCGCCATCCGATTCGATCACCACCTTTTGCCAACCCATTTTAATTGCCCAAATAATAGCTTCTTTGACGCCGATTGCCTCTGCCTCTACTGATGACCAAATGGCTTTTACAACTCGACTAATAGCTCCCAGAAAGTTACCATTGCTATCTCTTCCAATACATGCCCATGCCCACTTTCCGCTTCTAACATTACTAGCCGCATCTACATTGATTTTTATCCAATCCATCTCTGGTTTCTGCCAACGGTGTACTCCTTGAGGTGAGCTATTACACCTCAGTTTGCTGCTAGCCTCCTGGGCTTTCCTCCAGCTCTCTAATGTGGTAGCAGCAACACGTTTCACACTTGCCAAGCAAAAAAAGCCTTCCTTCCATAGTACCTCATTTCTGCCCTTCCAAATAGCCCAAAGAGCCATAATTAGCCTGCAAATATCTTCTACTGCCACTGAGGTAAAAGCTTTCTGGAGCCAAACCATTAGCCCCTCCCCCTGTCACTAACGGCAGCCCCATCCCCTGCCATATGTTCTTCACAACTGGGCAATTCAAAAACAAATGAGTAGCCGATTCCTCCTCTAATTTGCAAATCGGACATATCCCTAACACTGGAACCCTCCTATGTTTTAGAACCTCTCCCGTAGGCAAAATGTCTGTTGCAACTTGCCAAAAAAATATCTTCACTTTAGGAGGTAATCTGAAATTCCAAGCCGCTGACCAACCGTTCCAAAGGGATGACTGGACTTCCCCTACTAGTCTTCTATAACAACTCCGAACAGAAAACTTACCCTTGGGTTCATGACGTGCACTTTGTTGTGTGTGCATTCAAAATAAATATCAATACGACACTAATACGTAGTATAGTGAAGTAAGGTTCGTATCCACAGGGAAAGGAATACTTCTCTTTTTATATAACTAGTAACAAGGGGGGTTTTATATTTGTTGTTGAAGAACTTTTAAGTATATTTAAACACAAAGATGAACGAGTTATGTGGTTTAATTAATGAGAAGGAGACTTGGTTTTGCTTTTATCCACTTAATGAAATGTTCGTCGATCCCGGTTATATCTTTAACTATCTTCCTCTCGAATACTCAATCGAGGAGTATATCCAGTTCATCGAGGGTAGTTATTAATAACGAGACGCGTTCATTAATAAAACTTACTATCGAGTCAATATAGAACAAGCGCCATATATTAACTTGATAGTAGCAATAAACTTAAGATGAAAACGATTGAGATTGATAACCTCAACACAGGCGGTTTATTGGTTAATCAATGTAATTAATTCCCCTTAGATTATTAACCATGAGATGCATGCATTAATAATCCAAGTTTACTACCGTGAAAGGACCGAATTAATAACAAGCGTATTAATCGACCGATTCTAGTATTAATTAATATATGAAACAAAACTAGTTGATCCTTTAAGTAATGTTCAAAATATTAATATGAAATATGAATAGGAATTAATTAATACTCAAGAAAGAATATTAAAGAAGATGAATCCTACTATAGTTAATATCAAGATGTTAACTAATTGTCATCTTAGTAACACTCCCCGTTATTAACGTAGAGGAAGAAATAACTATTACTATAACTAATGTCAAGATGTTAACTAATTGTCATCTTAGTAACACTCCCCAACATTAATATAAAAATAGTATTTAAAGGAAGAATTAATATTCATGGAAGAAGATTAAAGAGAATAACTCACAACTTACAAATTCATTAAGCTTCAAAGTTGCAAAACCAAGATGGAAGAGTTTAGCTCCTCATTTGAAGACAAAACATGATAGAAAATATAAAGAAAACACTAATCTAAACTGAGCTAAAGAGTATATGTGAATTGGTGATTTTATTGTGAAGGAAAGGGGTGTATTTATAGGCTTTTGGGAGCTGCAGGGTCTGATACCCGACCGGGTATATAGGATACCCGACCGGGTATCTCAGGAAATTGCCCAGAAAGTCACTTTTCTGGGCATACCCGATCGGGTATGTCGGCATACCCGATCGGGTATGTGACAAATCTTCACGAAAATTTGCTCCCACGATCATTTGTTTCCGGATTTGATTTGGACAATCGAATCAAGCGAATACCCGATCGGGTATAGGCAATACCCGACCGGGTACATGAGTATTTTTTCCAAATCGAAATCTTTCTTGTCTCCTTGCACTTTCCTTGATCTTTTAAGGTCCAATCTTGATCCCTTGGATGATCTTTGACCTGTTTAGCTCAGAATAATCCTAATCTAAACAAATTACAAAAAAAAAAGAAAATAAAATATTACACCAAAAGTGTGTAATTTCCACAACTAGAACTAATAAAAACTAGTTAAAAATACAAACATACAATCGGAAATTACACGAATATCAACTCCCCCACACTTAGCTTCTTTACTCGTCCTCGAGTAAAGTCAAATGTTTGACACTTCCAACTCCTCAAAAGTTCAACAATCAACAAGAAAAAGCAAAAGACCACCAAGGATAAAACATGTTTTTTACATTGAGTTTTTAGCTCAATAAAAAAATAACATCTTCTTGGGTTTCATGGCCTTCTATGCTCATTTTTTCTTCACCTCTTTTATTCTTTTTTTCCGTCAAGAGATTAAATGATGTTCTGCAAAACAAATATATCTCTCATATCTCTCATTTTGCCTAGGAGCCTTTTCAGGTTTTCATCCTAGCATCTCTTTTTGTTTTTCCATCCTTTCCAACTCACGTATTTTTTATAAGCCCTTTTTGCTTAGATTGCCCATTTTTGGGTTTTCAACCTAACTAGCATTTCTATTTTTTTTGTGAAGAAAATAATGCAAGTTACAAGGTAGAAAAATTAATTGCGTACCAATGAGTGACTCCCCCTCACTTAGCTCAGAGCACTGTCCCTAGTGCTCGTTATCGCCATCACTTTTTTTGGGTTTTTTGAAGATATAAAATTGTGGTTTGGGAGAGGGGTGAGTGTAAGAGTTTATGGATTAGAGAGTATGTGAAGTAAGAGGAAAGTGATGAGAACAAGATTATGATTGTTTTGTGTGTGGGGTTTAGTGGAGGATTTGGATAGATTTTTAAAGAAAGAAGGATATGGTTGTGAGGGTTGGGGTGATTGGGGTGGAATTGGATGGTGGTTTGAAAGATTAAAGATGAAAAGAGGTGAAAAGGAGGTTGTGTAGGGGAAAGAAAAAGAAAAATAAAATAAAATAAACACACAATGATGTACCTCACTTGGGTTGTCTCCCAAAAAGCGCCTTATTTAACGTCGTGGCACGACACCATCTTTTTTAATTTCAGTCGTTTAGGCTTGGATCGTGATGATCCCTCTTATTCACATTTTCACCCCTGGGACTTTCAAAGGAACATCCAAGTTTTCGAGCCTTCATTTTGAAAATCTTTCCAGGATCAAATATCCGAATTTTCATTGCTTCATGTTGGGAAAGTGAGGGAAAAAATTTCCCATTTAACATGGTCAATGGAAATGGTTTTGCTCCCTCACATTTGTTGAAGAATTCAAAGATGTCATTGTCCTTTATAATATTACGAGTTCCCCTCAAAACTCCCAGAAATGGTGGGGGTACCTCAAAGGATGACAAGGATGAAATTTTGACTTTGAAGTTCGGCTCATCCTCTTCTTTGACCAGCTGGAGCACAATGTCTTTTTCTTCTTCTGAATTTTGGGTCTCCTTTTTCATTTCCTTCCCATTTGTCACTGTGACTTCAATAGCTTGTTGTTTAGGACTCTGTTCTATTTGAGAGGGAAGTTTCTCAAAATATTTTGCTTCCGATAGATCCACAACACTTGGCATTTGGTTCACTTGATTTTTCAAGTTTTGTTCGGTGGACCTTGTTTCTTGCGAGATTTGTGCCATATTTTGCTGCATATTTGTCACATTGATTGTGAGAACTCGGATCATGTCTTCAGTGGACATGCTAGAGTGAGAACTCGAGTATGGGTGATCTCTCCTTCCGGGATTATAAGTGTTGGAGAAGGGATCATACCTCAATTGAGGTATTTTCATTTGGAAACCAACATCATCAATTTGTTCAAAGTATTCTTCTTGGAGCTTCGGGCAAAAATCTGTAAGATGCCTGTGAGACATGCAAATGTTGCACGTCTGGGCATCTTCAAATTTCGAACAAAAAATAAACTCCTTTATTAGAGAAGCCAAGTCGGAAATTTGACTCTCTAGGGATGATGTGTTGGTATCCATATACTCATGAAAGCTCAGAAAATAGAAAAGTAAGAATTCTTTATATTTCTACTAATTAATTTTTTTGTTTTTGTTTTTTTTAAAAAAAAAATAAAAAAAAAATTATTGCCTTTCCCCGGCAACGGCGCCAAATTTGACGTGCACTTTGTCGTGTGTGCACTCAAAATAAATATCAATATGACACTAATACGTAGTATAGTGAAGTAAGGTTCGTATCCACAGGGAAAAGAATACTTCTCTTTTTATATAACTAGTAACAAGGGGGGTTTTATATTTGTTGTTGAAGAACTTTTAAGTATATTTAAACACAAAGATGAACGAGTTATGTGGTTTAATTAATGAGAAGGAGACTTGGTTTTGCTTTTATCCACTTAATGAAATGTTCGTCGATCCCGGTTATATCTTTAACTATCTTCCTCTTGAATACTCAATCGAGGAGTATATCCAGTTCA